TGTTAAAATGGAGGAAACACAAAGTTGACATGTTTTATTTGTGATGTCAGACTTCAGCCACATTGTGTTTCTGACCAGCTTCAGCTCAACTCTGATTGGATGAATGACCCACGTGTCACATGACATCTCTGAATAACTATGTGACTGAAGACCTCAACAAGTCACATCTGAAACCATCAGTAGACCATCAGAGAATTGATTAATTAAAAAAACAATCGTTAAAAGAGAAAATGATCGGCAGATTAATCAATGAAAACAACCATTAGTTGCTCTGGATGAAATTTTCTAATCACTGCGTCTCCCAGATCATGTGTGTGTGTCAATCACAGTGTGTGTGTGTGTGTGTTCAGCAGTGAATCAGCAGTTTCCTCAGGCTCTCAGTGTGATCATCAATGTAACTGTAGAGAATCAGCCGGCTCATCAGTTAACACAACAGTCACAGTCACAAAGATCAGCTGACACACACACACACACACACACACACACACACACACACACACACACACACACACACACACACACACACACACACACACACACACACAAACACACACACAAAACACACACACACACGAAACAGCTCTGATGTAAGGCTCCATTAATATCACACTGACATCAGCCTCAAAAACACACTGTTCATGTCTGACTGTTCGGAACATGTCCGAGTCACGGCTGCACATGAAGGTAAACATGTGGGTGGAACATGTCTCCTTGTGTTTCACCTCTCAGACCTCACCTGGTCTGTCAACACCTGTTCTCCAGTCAACAAGATGCAACAAAGTGTTTATTTCCTGAGTGGACGGAGAGTCAGAGAGGCCAAAATGGAGGAAGCTGTCGTAGTTTATCATCAGGCTGTAAACTGCTGCACAAACTGTCCTCACAGTCCTGCAGCATGTCATCAGAACCAGCTACAGCCACTCATGACTGACTGACTCCACCCGCCTGTTGTTGACCACAGTGAACACTGAGGCTGCAGCTTCATGTCAGTTTGTGTTTGTAGTGAAGAGGGGGGTGAGAGACTTGTTTAGTTTATAGTCCTGTTCACACCTCCATCATTCACACCGAATAAACTAAGAATCATTAGACTTCAACGTGTCGTTGTGGCTGGATGTCACGGCTCCTACATCCTTCTTATACCATTTACCAGAAATAATATAAGAAACGTCAGTGCTGGGAGGGGAGTGTTTAAATCCTCCTCAGTCCTCAGCCTCAGTGAATCCAGGCTGAACTAACTAAGCTGCATTATTCATCACGTTGAGCACAAACAGCAGCAGACTGATGATTTCACTGCTTTACTCACTGACATTATCATGGTTATGTTCTGCATGTCAACATCTGGTACTGGTTTCAGAAACCTGGAGTACTCCAATGAAAACCTGCATCATGTGGCCTGTGAACACCTAAATCCAGGTGTCTGTATATTCTTGGCAGGTAGGGAACATAGACCAGATGACATCAGGAAGACCAGACACTGATCTGATCAGGTAAATAGAGATGTGAAGAACCAGGTTTCTCATGTGTAAACTTCAGATCCCAAATATGATCAGAACCTGACAGAATCTGACAGAGTGAAACATCCACCTCGTTTATACTATCTCTGTCAGATTAACTGTTTCCTCCTCAGCAAACAGGAAGCTGAAAATATTTAGTAACACCACTTCCTCTTTTGTCTTTCAGCAACCAGAAACAAGACGGACTGAAAACAGACTGAAAACAGACTGAAAACAGACTGTAAACAGACTGAAAACAGACTGAAAACAGACTGGAAAACAGACTGAAAACAGACTGAAAAACAGACTGAAAAACAGACTGAAAACAGACTGAAAAACCAACTGAAAACAGACTGAAAACCAACTGAAAACAGACTGAAAACAGACGGAAAACAGACTGAAAACAGACGGAAAAAGACTGAAAAACAGACTGAAAACAGACTGAAAACAGACTGTAAACAGACTGGAAAACAGACTGAAAAACAGACTGAAAACAGACTGAAAACAGACTGAAAAACCAACTGAAAACAGACTGAAAACAGACTGAAAACAGATGGAAAACAGACTGAAAAACAGATTGAAAAACAGACTGAAAAACCAACTGAAAAACCAACTGAAAACAGACTGAAAAACAGACTGAAAACAGACTGAAAAACAGACTGAAAACAGACTGAAAAACAGACTGAAAACAGACTGTAAACAGACTGAAAACAGACTGAAAACAGACTGTAAACAGACTGAAAACAGACTGAAAACAGACTGAAAAACCAACTGAAAAACCGACTGAAAAACAGACTGAAAAACAGACTGAAAACAGGTTGAAAACAGACTGAAGAAGAAGAAACCCAAATGAAATGAGAACACGTGCCATCTGTCGTGTTTTCATCAGACTTTGTTTTAAACTTCAGGAGACGACCTTTCATCTGAACACGACCTCTTCAGTCCGGATCTAAACTAATTTATTTAATCATCCAACCCTACCCCAAGAAAAACACCAAACCTCCTCTGACCTCTGCTCCTCTATGAAACTGTCATAGAAAGCCTTTTCTGACACATTAGAGACTTCATCATTATATCGGAACAATAATAATAATAATCTGATACAGGAAATAATCAATAGTTTCCTGATTCCACTTAACCTCAGTCCAGAGGTGTTCACTGTTATTCTCCATCTTCAGTTAAACCTCATTTTACACTGGTACCATGAGTATGAAGCGAATGTGAGACTACTGGATTCATGAACTGGTCATGTGATGAACACCTGTGATGATTTACAGGTAAAAAATGAACATTTATATTCACGTAACTTATAGAAACCAACTGAAGTTGAACTGGTGAAATTAAGGTCAGGATGCTGCTTCACACAGGTGTCTGACAGGTAACACAACTTTAAAGAAACAAAATAAAAACATCCGCTGGGTAGGAATTTTCAAAATAAAGGCCTCATCAGAGAGGAATAATGCTGTGTATTCTGACTATTGAAAAATGATTTAAAAAAATGATTAGATAGGTTAGATAAGTTATTTGAAAGAAAATCCCACCGGGGTTTTTCTGTGATTAACCGAAGACAACGGTACGGCAACATTTAGACCCACGGTAAACACCCACTAACGGAGGGTCCGCGGAGCCGAACCAGACTGAGTTTAGGCCACATTCTGGCCCACATTCAGGACATGTGGTCTGAAGCCGATCCCCGTTGGAAATGGCTCCGGTGGGTGTATCCTCATTTCACCGCCGCGCCGTTCGGGAGAAATGTTTTAACAGAGGCGGAAAGAGGAAACTAGTGGCCGTGAGGTGGCTACGTTAGCCTGCTAGCCATAACCCTGCTGCTGAATCTGTTTGTTTAATCGCGGGAAGTGTTTTAAAGTGCAGTTTGAACGGTGTCGGTGGAACCGTGAGCCCGGGACAAGATGAGTTCACCCGGACTGAAACTGGGGACAAACCGAGCAGGAGCAACTTTTTATAGCTGTTTGGACACAACACCACCAGCGACGTCAGCTCCCCTCACGGGTTTTATTGTGAAAGGCCCTGCGGACTTCCCGCCCTGTGGACCGCACGGCAGTGGCTAGGTGTCTGGACCCTGTGGATCCGGTGCCGGTTATCTTCACCACGACTCACCTGACTCTATCTGCCGAAGTAGTCGCTCCAGCAGACCGGTGGGCTGCAGTGCCCCCACCACCACCAGCACCGAGTAATCCACCGCAGACCGGGAGGAACCGGGACAAGAACTCGGAGAAGAACCGGGACCGCCACCCCGCTCCACCGCCGCCATCATGGCATGGACGGTCCACTGATGACGTCACCGGGACACTTACACGGGCCCCGCCCTGCTCTGTCGAGAGGCAAGAATATGTGATAACTGGCGCACAAGGTGGCCAATCAGAGAGGAGAACTGTGCAGCAAGCGAGAGACGTTGGCGAATCAGAAGAGAGAGGGTCGTTCAAGTGCTGCTAGGAAGAAATCAGGACCGACAGCATATTTAAACTGAGCTGAAAATAAATCGGAAACACTTTAATGGAGTTACATAAATGTAGATATTTAAAGTTTGTTGAGCAAATGTTTTGAAATAAATGTTTAAAATAAACGTTACATGTTTTCTGCTTTAAAATACTTTTGCTTGAAATACTCAAAGTCATTAAAACAAATGGCAGTAAACACCAAGTGTTTGGTTTTTATATAAATTCTTCCTTACTTTGTTTTAAGCATGAAACAAAATATATGAATTCAATCTAATGTGTATATGTACATAATTAATCTGTAGCTATATTAACAGCAATATCTATCAGTAAATAAATCTACAGTAAAATGAAAAAAGATAAATATAAATATAGTGGTGGATAAAATATGCATGGTGTTTTGTGAATTTTATTATTTGAAAAACCTTTCAAGGATTTCAATTTCAATATTCAAGTTTTTTGTTTGTTTGTTGAAATGTTGAAATATACTTATTTCCATTCACAGCTATTTTTAGTTGCAGTTGAAATGTGTTGATCTTTTGTTGTCCACAGCTGTGAACTGTGCAGTTCTGTAGTACACTGATTAATAAAAATTAATTATGTTAAAATAGAAATTACAAGGCTTAAACTTCAATTACAATTTTATAAATGGATTGAACACACACAAAAATGTAACTAATGTTTCAAAAAACTAAACTAAACAATACATACCAAACAATTAAGAGATAAATTTAGTAAAACATTAACAAAGTACTTGACAATAAAAAATAATTGCAGGTCAATAAATAAGTTCAGAAAATAAGGAGGCATTTTTTTTTTTTTTTTTAAAGAGTTTCCTACATTTTTGATGTGATGCAATCAAAACTAAAAGGTGTTAAAGCATTGACCACTTTTCCTCATTTTAATCTCAGTTGAAACTGGTTTTAATATTCTGAGTGTTAAACTCCGAATCTATGGCCGGATAAAAGGTTTCGTTCGTTTTATAAAAACAGCAAACACTTATTAATATTAATCGTGGTCCCTTGGTATTTCCCACAGCTCAGCGAGCACCTGAATGCAGCATGGAAGTTCTGCTACCTCCGTGTCCTCCAACATGGCGGCTCCTTCACCCGGTAGATGTGGGTTCTTCGTGGAGAAAAAGAACCGTTTCTGTAAAATGATCGTCGGGAGAGGAAAAACGTTTTGTGGAGAACATGCGACCATGGTGAGTTCATGGACACGGGCTGAGTTCACTGACATAGACAACATGATAACAACAGGACAGAAGGGCAAACAGCTGTAAACTGATTTCATCTTCTGACTCAAACTCTGCTCCTTCGACTGAATTAAAGTTTAAACTTTATTCTTAATGAGTTTAGAGACAAATACAATCAGTATTTCAGTTACAGCTACACACCTGTGAGCAGGTGGCGCTGACACTGACAGGAGGCAAGTGTAGCTGTTTTTTTTTTTATTACAAAGTCTGGGCCTTTTACAACATGTGGCCGGTTTGTGTCAGATATTTATCCTCAGGTCAATTAGTTTGTTTGAGAAAGGCAGACACAGGATTTGTTTATATACCACTTAAATATCATTTAAATATCATTTAAACATTTAAATATTGCTTAGATGTTAAGGTGGCCAGATATCTGAAATCGGTGTCAATATGTCATTAAAATACCCAATGTTTTTACCAATGAAATAAAAAGGGGGCACAGTCATGTAATTCGACCACAGTAACTGTTGTGTTGTAATAAACTATTATGAAGGCCGACTGATAAAATAATGACTACCTACCTTTGAAGTAGTCGTAAAGTTTGTTTGAAGTATGTTTGTTTCGGTTAGTTTACCAATGAGTGAGCCAGGTAACATTTTCTCTGCCTAGAGACAACAAAAAAGGAAAATCTGATTGGATAACTCAATTTTGATGGTTTAACTTCACTTCTGAAGATGCTATAGTTAGCAGCTTATCCCCTCTGTTGGCCAAAACAAGCACAAAGTTAGACGTCTGTTTTTAATTACAAACATTAAAAACAGGGACATTTCTGGGGACAGCTCCAACCAGGGACAGGCCACCAAAAACGGTAACTATCCCTGAAAAACGGGGACATCTGGTCACCCAATTAAATGTATTTATGTACCATTTAACTAGACTATGACCACATTCTGCTCAAACACAGTTTCAAGCCATAGAAAGACCTTCTGATAATTAACTACACAGTGGGAAAGCGTCTGTCGGTCCTGATGTTAAAATGACTGAACACTGAGACACTGGCTGTAAATGATTCAACGCCACTGCCCAAACAACACAACTACAATGCTCTCAAATAACAACAACCACTGTTTTTCTGTTTTCTGTCTCCCGTTTCCAGGAGGAGGGAAGCAGAAGTGGCAGCAGGAGGATCATCTGTCCTCTGGACCCCAAACAGTCAGTTATTGATCAATCACTTTATGATCAGATTATTGATCTGTTAATAAACAGTTACTTGTGAATGAAATAAAATCAGTTTTTATTGACTCAGAAGCAGCATCACTCATTGATCACAGCATCACCAGCAGGATTATTGACTCACAACATGTCAAATGATTTCTATGTGTTGGTGTTTTTTTGTTGCTTCAGCACTGTGAGTGAAGACAAACTGGACAAACACCTGAGGAAATGTAACTCCAGAGAGAGAGACAAGCCTGTGAGACAAACTCCTCACTCTGTCCTCACTGTGTTCATGTCAGAGTATCAACTCTGCTCTGTCTCCTCTGTCACTGTCATCATATCTGTTGGTGACTGTATTCTGACTGTAGTTTAACTGTAATCTGATTGTAGTTTAATTGTAGTCTGGTTGTAGTTTAACTGTAGTCTGACTGTAGTTTAACTGTAGTCTGGCTGAAATTTAACTGTATTCTGACTGGAGTTTAACTGTAATCTGATTGTAGTTTAATTGTAGTCTGGTTGTAGTTTAACTGTAGTCTGACTGTAGTTTAACTGTAGTCTGGCTGAAATTTAACTGTATTCTGACTGGAGTTTAACTGTAATCTGATTGTAGTTTAATTGTAGTCTGGTTGTAGTTTAACTGTAGTCTGACTGTAGTTTAACTGTAGTCTGGCTGTAATTTAACTGTAGTCTGACTGTATTTGAACTGTAGTCTGACTGTAGTTTGACTGTGTTTTTTATGTTCTTCAGGTTTATTATGTGGAGAACATAAATGCTGGATCAGCTGATGGAGACAAGACTGTGCAGCAGGTAACGTCTGATCTTCTGCTGCACACACTGAATAACAACAACATTGCTAATGCTAATCTATCTGTTCCAGGTGAGTCTGTGTGAGCGCAGCAGGACAGAGTTGGAGTCTCTGTTGGACAAACTGAGGACAGCGGTCAGAGGTGAGCTGCTGATTCTACTCGTCTTCCTCCTGATCTTAAGATAAAATAACCAGACATGACATGACTAAATCCAGCAAATCAAACGTCACAGCAGCATCTCGTCAGTGTATCAGTGAAGCACTCCACAGTCTGACTGTTTCTGTAGGAAAATAATGATGTTGTTATAGGACTGCAGTGTGACCCGGAGGACAGCATTCTGTCCCACCCTGTCCTCCAGGAGGAACTCAGCAACCCGAAAAACGGAGACTCCGCCCACAAACACCTGAAACAGCAGGTACAGTAACACCTGAAACACCTGTACACACCTTTTAGAACATACTTTGTTTGTTGTGGGAGGTTCTAGAAGGGGAATGTGGATCTAGACTCATGAGCTCAGTATTTGTAAAATCCTGGACAGGTGAATGGTTGATGAGTCCGTAGTGACACACGTCTGTAAGCCATGCCTCCCTTGAGGAGGTGGAGCTGGAGCTGGTCTTGTCTGACCTGTCGTGTGTCCAGTCCTCTATCTTAGGTCATCTGGAGGAGCTGGGACTGTTGGCAGGGGGACGGTGCTTTGTGGAGTTCGGAGCGGGTCGAGGGAAACTGTCTCACTGGATCCACGAAGCCCTGAAGACCCGCGACCACCTGAAGATCTGTGAAGACCTGCAGTTGCTGCTGGTGGAGCGCTGCAGCACCCGCTTCAAGGTACAAAGAAACCTCATGACTCCAGTCTCCAAACTCCCTGGTCCAGACTTCCCGACTCTCTGACTCAAAACAACTCCAAACCTGCTCTCTGTTCTGCTCCAGGTGGATGGGAAACATCAGGAGGGTGGAGTTCAGTTTGAGAGGCTGCAGGTCGACATTCAACATCTGGATTTAAGTAAGAGACAAACACTGAGACCCTGGTGGTTTAGTTCTGAACTCATGCTCATGGTTTTAACTCCCATGATCTGACCTGATTTTTCAGGTAAAGTCCCTCTGCTCAGACAGAAGAAGCTCCCGATAGTCGGAGTCGGGAAACACCTGTGTGGAGCAGCTACAGGTGAGAACGGTCTGCCTCGCACTCTGAGCTCTGATTGGCTGTCAGCTGTGTCAGTCACATGACACTCACACTGACACTATTGTTGAAACCTGACACTAGAAACCAAAACAGATCTGTTACCCACAGTGGTCTCTGAAACAAACCCAGACCTGACTTGGTTCTGGTTCTGACTTGACTCCTGGTTTTAACACTGACTGACCTGCTGCCACAGGTGCAGGTGACCCGCTGAACATTAACTGGTTTCTGTGCTTAGATCTGGCTCTGCGCTGTTTGTTGGAAACACCAGGACTGGACCGGGAGACTGAACCACCGGCAAAACGCCTCAAAACCTCAGAACTGGCTGCTGACCCTGGTCCAGACTCTGGCTCTCTCTCTGATGATCCAGGACCTCAACCAGGACCAGCCTCTGACCTTGTTCCTGGCTCTGGTGCTGTCCTCGGCCTGGCGGTGGCGCTGTGCTGTCACCATCGCTGTGAGTGGCGTCACTACGTGGGTCAGCAGTTCTTCCTGCAGCGAGGACTCGGAGCTGCAGAGTTCTCAGCTTTCTGTCGAATGTCCAGCTGGGCCACATGTGGACTCAGACCAACCAATCAGAACCATCCATCTCAGGATCCAACCAATCAGGGAAGAGACGATGAAGTGCACGAAGCAGCAGAGGAGACGGACGCTGTGAACGGGTAAATATTTGACCTCTGACCCCTTCAGGTGGTGTCCCGAGCCCTGACAAGGTCCTGAACAGAGTGTCTGTGTGTCTGCAGGTTTCTGGCGGCAGGTGAGCGGGAGCATGTGGGTCGTCTCTGTAAACTTCTGATCGACAGCGGCAGACTCCACTTCCTGTGGGCAAAAGGATTCAAGAGCAAACTGACTCGATACGTCGATGCTCAGACGACTCTGGAGAACATGTTACTGACCGCCGTGCCCTCCTCCTCCTCCTCCTCCTCCTCCTCCTGATCAGTTATTACTCATCTGCACAACCAGAAAAACTGAACTGATGATGAGCTGCAGCTCGACTCAAAGAAACGAGTTTGTGTTTGTAAAAAAAAAGTATTTTATTGTGAAAATCATCGTCAGGCTGAACGTATTAAAAGTTTGTATTAAAGTGTTTTCAGTTGATGTCCTCGAACAGTTCACTGATGTTCACAGTCTGAGTAACAACAGGAAACAGGAGCAGGTGAAGTGGTCACATGACAAACTGTCTCAGAGTCTGTGAGTCACATGGTGGCTGCTGTAAAAACCTGTTTGATTTAAAAAGTTGCAGAAGAAGAAACGCAGCGACGACTGTTTTAATGTGAAGCCTCGTCGTTGGACTCTGAAACATTCAGAACAGAAACACGTCAGACATCAGACAATTATTTAGAATCAAATACTTTATAGTAAAAAACTTAAACCTAATTAAATTATTACTATTATTATAATTAATTAATTAAGGGTTAAACCCTAATTAGTTCATAAATCAAATATATATTTTAATGTAAACTTGATGTCTGTTAATTATTATTAATTATTAGTTATTAGTAATAGTGTTATCACATATCTGTTAATATTCATCTGACGTTTGAATCAGATCCAGGTTCACTTACGAGCTTTCAACTGTATCTCCTGGCTGCCTTCAGAAAATCTAACTGTGAGAAGCAGCTGAAAGCTCTGGCTGGAAAAAGTTAGTAAGTGAACACTGACTTTAGAGTATTTTATCAGTTTGTTTAGAGTCAAAAATCAATCTCATCTTATTTCAGAAGATTTTCACCATGAAATTATTTTATCATCATTATATCAACATGAAGAAAGTGAAGGAACATCAGACCTTCATGTCTCAATGTGAATAAAGTTCAAAGGTGAAAGTCACTGGGACTTGAACCAGACTGTGTCTCAGTGGGTCGTCCTCTGATCACAGGGTCGCTAGTTCGAGTCCCACCTTTGCCTCAGTTAAACTCTGGATGAGCTCAGTGTCTCTGACAGAGACTGAATGAGACGAGGACGGACATTTACAGGACACAGCTTAATTACTCTGGCTTTGATTTATGGTCGGACTCAGACTCACAAGGACTCAGACTCACAAAGACTTAGACTCAAACTCAGGAGGATTCAGACTCATGAGGACTCAGACCCATGAGGACTCAGACTCATGAGGACTCAGACCCATGAGGACTCAGACTCATGAGGACTCAGACTCATGAGGACTCAGACCCACGAGGACTCAGACCCACGAGGACTCAGACCCACGAGGACTCAGACTCACGAGGACTCAGACTCCTGAGGACTCAGACTCACGAGGACTCAGACTCACGAGGACTCAGACTCACGAGGACTCAGACCCACGAGGACTCAGACTCACGAGGACTCAGACTCACGAGGACTCAGACCCACGAGGACTCAGACTCATGAGGACTCAGACTCACGAGGACTCAGACCCATGAGGACTCAGACTCATGAGGACTCAGACTCAGACCCATGAGGACTCAGACTCATGAGGACTCAGACCCATGAGGACTCAGACTCACGAGGACTCAGACTCACGAGGACTCAGACCCATGAGGACTCAGACTCATGAGGACTCAGACTCATGAGGACTCAGACCCATGAGGACTCAGACTCAGACTCATGAGGACTCAGACTCATGAGGACTCAGACCCATGAGGACTCAGACTCAGACCCATGAGGACTCAGACTCATGAGGACTCAGGTATTACAGTGTCAGTGTTGGCCGTGGGGAGGAGCTGGTACTAACGGTTGACACAGTGCATGTTGAGCACAGCGTATGCTCTCTTCCTCGCCTCCTGGATGTACATCTGCATGAACTCTCGTCCAAACATCTCTCTGTCATCATCTTCCTCATCTTCCTCGCCCTTCGTCTTCCTGCACGGCAGAGCCACGTCCAGAGTCAGAGGGTTGTCCCGGAAATTCACAAACCTGCTCAGAAACAAAGACAAAAGACGGTGGAAAGACCGACCTCTGGTCAGCCTGAGGTCGGTCGGACTGAGTCATGTTTGAGGACAGACTGACCTGAGCTTGGACATGTCCTCCATCAAAGAGGGGATGTCTCTCAGTTTGTTGCAGCTGAGGACCAGGGTGTCCAGACTGTCCATCCTGCTGATGTTATCTGGGAGCCTCTCGAGCTCATTCCTCTGCAGCCACAGAGTGTGCAGCTTCTCCATCCTGAGGACACACATATCTCACTGTTGATTGGCTGGTGGTGGGGCTCAGATTATGTCGCTGTCCTCCTTCACCCACCTGTGTATGTCCTCAGGTAAGTGCTGCAGTCGGTTCCCTCCCATGTCGAGCCACTCGAGCTCCGGCAGTCCGACCACGCAGTCCGGCAGGCAGGTGAAGTCGTTCATGGACAGATCCAGGTGCTGCAGCTTCTTCAGCTTTCTGAACTTCAGGGGACAGAACAGACCTCAGATCAGCTGGATCAGACCCTCTGTAGGATCAGGTCTACACTCACTGGTCAGAATTTAGGTTTGGTCCCTTATTTAGAATCTGGTTTAGGTTTTGGTTCATACCTGGTCTGGCAGGTGGTCCAGGTGCCGGTTCATGGCGATCTCCAGCCTCTCCAGACTCTCACAGCAGCTCAGCTCTTCAGGAACAAACTGGACTCTGTTGTAGCTCAGCAGCAGCTCTCTGAGCCGGGTCAACTTCCCTGTGACCAGGACCATGACACCAGTAAAACTCAACTCACTGAGACAAGCTACAGGATCTACACCCTCCAATCTGCAGTGGAAGTGGGGGGGTCATACTGACCGATCTCTCGGGGGATTTCGGTGACCCCGTTGCGGGACAGATCGAGAACCAGAAGGTTTTGGAAGCTGGAGATGAAGTGAGGGATCTTGAGCAGTCCGGTCCGGTGGATCTGCCACTCCTGGACCTGAGTGAGCTGGACCAGACAGCCTGGCAAAGACTGGAGACATAACAAATATGACAACCAGAGAACCACATCAGATGTGGTCCTGGGACCAGACCAGGACAGTCTGTTCCTGGAGGATGTTACCTTCCACTCCTCCTGTTCGATCCGGAGAACCAGCCGTCCGTCTTCTGTCTGCAGCTTCTGTTGGAGTCGAGCCAGAGATGCCCGGTCCTCCCAGACCCCTACACTGAGTCTGGACCAGACACCAGAACCAGGACGTCAGAGACCCGACCTGGACTCAGTACACATGTAGTACTGTGTATTCAGTACACTCACATGTAGTGCTCTGTGTACTCAGTACACATGTAGTACTGTGTATTACATAGAGCCAAGATGGCGGCCATTGAGGGTGAGAAGTTTATCAATCATTTTGAGTGAACTCACTCAGCAGGTGTGAGATGGAAACAAGAGTTTAGACCCAGTAAAAACATTTAACCAATAAAACAAAGAGTGGGCAGAGTCTGACCTGCCAGTAGCCCCGCCTCTGACTGCCCTCCTCCTCCTCTGCTCTTCCTCCTCCTCCTGCTCCTCTTTCCTCCTCTTGATCCTGCTCTCCCACAAAGCTTTAACGGAGCTGATGGAGCTGCACACAGCCACGCCCACCATGATGATGTCGTAGTGCACAGGTGAACAGGTGAGATGACCTAACCTCTGAGCTGCAGTGTCGTCCTCCCTCTGATCATCCTGTTATTGGTGATTATTTATTATTAGAGCAGAGAGAAATATTCCATTTTATCTATATAGTAAAAATTATATTTATTTTAAAACAGCAAACTTTAAGAAGTAAATAAATACATGAGCTCAACTATGAAAGACAAAAAAAAACTAAATGTTTGAAACCATTACTTAGCAGTTGAGGCCTGATTATCTCTGACAATAAAAATATTTAGAAATATTTAAATTAAGATATTTATATATTTACTATATTACAGCATAATTTGTTTTACTTAATTTAAATTTGTGTAATTTCTGTGAATATTTTATTTTCTTAATAAGAAATATTAACAGACGCGGTAAAAGTTTCCTCTTCAGCTTCAGTTTGAATTATTTCTATAATTATTCATCCTTATTTTATTGTCAGTTTTTCCTGAGTGAACAGACACTTTGTCACACTAGATGGTTGTATTTTTAATATTGTAGTATATTATTGTAGTGTTGTAATGTTGTAGTACTGTAGTATAACAGTACTGTAGTACTGCAGTATTGTAGTATATTACTGTAGTGTTGTAGTACTGCAGTATTGTAGTATAACAGTACTGTAGTACTGCAGTATTGTAGTATATTATTGTAGTGTTGTAGTACTGCAGTATTGTAGTATATTATTGTAGTGCTGCAGTATTGTAGTATAACAGTACTGTAGTACTGCAGTATTGTAGTATATTACTGTAGTGTTGTAGTACTGCAGTATTGCGGAATCAGCTCTCACCTTGTCGTAGCACAGCAGCAGTTGTCGTCCTCCATGCTGTCTCTCTTCAGCTGAAATTTGACCTCAGATCTGCTGCTGGATAATTTTAGCCTCCAGTTCACATGACCCAACGACAGTCACATGGCCAGCTGACAGTCACATGACAATCATTTTACATCAAAATATCATTAAATATGTGATTATTAATGAGTAAACAGTAAATATATGAGAGAGAAAGAAAAAGTGAATTTAACCATCATCTCTGATTGAACATGAACTCATCACAGACTCACTGACTCAGGGTTTTAAGTTTGTGCACTTCAACTTTATTCAGTTTTTCACCAGGGTTCAAACGCTTCGATGTCAGAGACCGGGACCAGTATCCTGATCCACATCCCAACACAAAACCACGCCACATCAGAGTCAACAAAAAAATTTCATCACACGAGACAAACAAACATCATGTAACTTAACACCAACACCATCGTTACCCAGCAGCCACCAGGACACAGAGGAAGTCAAGGAGGAACAGCTGAAAGCTCTGGCTGCTTCAGGAAGATACAGGACTTAATGACAGATTCGTAGAGGAAGAAGAGCTGATCACATGATCTCCACACCAGGACCAGAGACAAGAAACCAGAGACCAGTCAGGGGGCAGCTGGTGAAGAAAGGGGGACATTTAGCAGCTACAGAACCAGGTCTTCCCTCAGGAGCTGGAGACCAAACACAGAGAACAGTAAGTCTGAAGAACAGGAAGGTTCTGAAGAGAACCTGCTGGCTCCTACAGGAGACAGAGGGTCAGACGGCACTTTGTGGTTCAGGAGCCATCGGGGACCTGAGACACAGCAGGTCCACCACTGGTTCATTTATATACAAGACAGACCACATCCAGAACCAATCCAGTCCTGCTGAACCTCCGTCATGCAATTGACAGCTGAACGGATTGGAACCATTAGACCGGACTCTGATGAACTGGTCTCATGACCCAGGACTAACCTCAGACCAGCTCCTTCAGGTGGACTCTGGGTCCATTTAGTAGCTGTTCTGGAGCTTTTGACTCGATCACATGATCTGAACCTGCTTCCTGTGATTTTCAAAATAGATTTTCCTCCAGTTAACTTTCACTCGACTCATCAGAGTGTTTTATTGATTATTTATTATGATAATTATTTGATTATTGTGCCCACCCAAAGGGACCTCTTCTAATGTGGTCCAGTCCAGGACTCAGAGGGGGTCAGGTCAGACCCGTCTCTGACTGAGGAGGAAAACCAGGAACCAAATTCAAATTATTCCATGAATCCCTCAGTGAATCGAGCCTCAGGCCCAGAACAAATAACAGACTCTCCTGAGCTCTGAACTCCAGGTCTCACACTGACCTCCATCCTGACCCCACCTGACCCCACCTGACCCCACCTGCAGAGAGGATCCAGATCCAGGAGGGACCACCAGTCTAAACCTGAAGAGTTGAACCCTGGTTCACTTGAACGAAACTAACTACCTCTAACCTCCGCTGTGAGTGACTGGTTGTCATGGAAACAACATGATTGATAGGCTGACCCCTCCCCCACCGCCTCGCTCAAAGGCAACAAGGAAATGACAAAAGGTGAAGATGAAGGCGGCAAAAACGGTGGGGGGAGGGGTGAAGGTCTGTTAGTGTCGCGTCTCCGTCATTCCCGGGGCTGATGGGAAATGTTCCCGTTCATTTGAGGTCCAGCACCATGCTCGCCGGGTTCTCCAGGTACTCCCGCCACAGGTTGGAGAAGCGACACATGGTGGCTCCGTCGATGATGCGGTGATCCGCCGACCAGCTGACCTTCATGATGTGAGCCGGGACCACCTGACCACCGGTGCTGAATCGAGGCAGAACCTGAACACACAGAGTGATGAGGTCAGAGGGGGCGGGGCTTATCACAAACTCAATGAGAAGAGATTTTTTTATCAAATTTCTGATGTTTGTCAGCGAACTTTGTTTTCTGACGTCATGAGATTTAATTTAAGACGACAAGAAACAACAAAAAACAACGACAAACAACAATAAGACACTGTAACAACTAGAATCTCCTCCTCCACTCAGACTCGTCTCAGGTCACATCCCTGTTTATCCAGAGTCACATAAAATATAAAATATGAACATTTGTGTGTCTTGAGTTATGGCTAAAAAGTGTTTTCTGACCTTGACCTTTGACCTTTAGCCACTAAAATCTAATCAGTTCATCCTTGAGTCCAAGGACATTTTTACCAAATTTGAAGAAGTTCCATCAAGGTGTTAGTGAGATATTGTGTCCATGACAATGAGACGGATGTACAGACAACCTGAAAACAAAATGGCTGCCGGCCACACGTGTGTTCATGTGATGCTCTGACTCTGATGATCCTGGAAAAGTCTGGAACCCACCTGGATTTTTCCCAGAGCTCCGATGGCAACCTCAGGAGGGAGGATCACTGGTTTGGCGTACGTCCCTCCGATCTAGACCACAACCAGAGAACAAGTTCAGGTTAGACCGGGTCTGGAGTCTGATGGTGTAGCTGAGGTGCAGCTGGACTTACTGAGCCGATGTTGGACAGGGTGAAAGTCCCTCCGGTCAGGTCCGAGGTTCCCAGCTGACCCGCAGAACCCAGAGTCTGCAGCCGGTTCAGCTCCTGAGCGATCTCAAACACACTGAGCAGCTGCACGTTCTTCACGTTAGGAACCAGCAGACCCTGACTCGTGTCCATCGCCAGCCCGATGTTATGAGACGCCTGAGGCACAGACAGCACTGTCATCACCATGGCAACAACGACAGTAGCAACAGCAGCAACAACAACAACAACCCCCAGCAGTTGTGCGTCCCGGAGATCTGAACTGGATAATTTTTTGATAAAGATAAATGATCAAAACTAATTCAGAGACAGGAAACAGGTCTTTGTTAGACTCTGGAGGGTCTGGTTGACACCAGTGGAGGACTGGGGTCTTTACCTTATAGGTGATGTTCTGGCAGCCCTCGTCCACCGAGGCGTTCAGGATGGGGAAGTGCAGCAGGCTGAGAGAGGCAGCCTGAGCCAATGAGAGCGCAGCGTTAACGTCAGCACCGAACATGTGACCAATCAGCAGTGAGGTTATTCCCGCCCTCGGGTCATACCTTGATGAAGAAGGGCATGTAGCTGAGTTTGACCCCCCGACCTTCAGCCACAGATCTGAGCTCAGACCTGAGACCTACCAGGCGGCTTAGGTCCACGTCGTCACAGTAACCGAAGTGAGGGATCATCAGAGCGGCCGTCATTGTCTTCACCATCGCCCTGTGGAAACCTGGGGGGGGGGGTCAATGATTGTTGATTATCTGATACAGGTAATCAATGATTGTTCAGACTCAAGTCCAACCTGAAGACATGGTCCAGGTTCACTCACCAGGTGTGGGCGGAGCCTGTTACAGAACTGACCTGTGGGAAACTAAAGATCACCTAGATCAGAGTTCAGGGTCTGAAATAAAATAGATTTTACTTTGTCCTGATGAACAAACTGATCAATTGATGAACCGATTAATGAACTGATCGATTGGTTAAACATGATCAATAACCCGAGACGTGCTCATGTTTTCATGCTGCTGATGAAATGACCTCTGACCTTTCAGGGGCTCGGTCACGTCCTTCCCAGTAAACACAGGTCTGGGTGTGGAGGGTGGGGGTGTGACGGCTGCCGGAGTGCTCGCGGGCCTGGCAGCAGCGGCAGGACCAGGACCCGGAGTCTGGATCTCCTGGAATGGGGTCGGAGGTAAGATGGCTCCCGTCTGCTTCGCTAGGAAGTTCAAGATGTCCTCCTTCAGGATCCGTCCGTCTTTCCCCGTCCCCACCACCTCACTGAGCTTGATCTGAGGACACACCAGTCAGACCAGTCAGACCAGTTAAACCAGACACAGTCTGTCCTGTCCTGGACACTGAAGACAGACCGGGGACACTTGACAAGCTGGGAAAACTGGAGACAGACGGGGGACACTGAGGACAGACTGGGGACAGACTCACGTTGTTCTCCATGGCGAGGCGTCTCACGGAGGGCGTGGCCTGGGTCTTGTGACCTTTGATCTCCTGGTGGGTGTGTTCTTCTCGAGCCATTGCCGGCGTCTCTACCACGTCCTCCTCCTGGATCACCTCTGAACAACAAGTCTGGATCAAACCAGAACCACAGGACACAAAGCTGACCTGGTTCAGACTAAAACCAGGTGTGGATGTGGTGTCTCACCTGAACCGGACTCTGTCTCGATGTCGACCAGCGGTTTGCCCACCAGCGCGGTGGCGTCCACGTCATAGTAGAGTTTTCTGATGACGCCGTCGTAGCGGCTGGTGATGGTGACGGACGCCTTGTCACTCTGGACCTCACAGATACTGTCGAACTGAGACACCTTGTCCCCCTCCTTCACATACCTGCAGGACAACAACACCTGACTCATGTAGACCAGGACCCGCTCTGGTCTTCTTCTAGTTTCTGTACATTTGAAAGGAAAAGTCACTTTTCTGGGTCTTTGGTAGTTTCACTGGTCTCAGGGAGACAGTTTGGAGTAGTGTGTCTGGTCTCAGGTGGTTTTTGTTAGAGCCCAACTGACTTATTGGTCAGCTGATGTTATCGGCCGATATTGGCCTATCACAGATATATCGGTGTCTGCGCATGTATTCCCTGATATGAGATGATATGAATACTTCTATTAAGAAGCAATAATGCAGTGGAAATGCTCGGATCAAGTTATACAGGCAACATTACGTATATTTGGTCCTTTGTTTTCATTTGAGTTAAATAAAAAACATAAGAGCAAATATATATAATGTATATGTTTTTTATTTATAGTTATTTTATCTAATTCCCAGTGAAGTTTACTGCTTCAGTCACTGATGTCATTTTGGACAATAAAGATTATTGTTAAACTGTAAAATATCCTGCTTTAATTACATATCTTTTTCACAAGTGTTTATATATATCGAAATGTTTTTATTCCCCAATATTGGTATCGGACCCAAAAATCCAATATCGGTTGGGCAGTAGTTTTTGTTCTACTGGTCTCTGTAGACTATGTAGTGAATGTTGTGGTCTCTACAGTGTTTGTGGGTCCCTGAAGGTTCAAGATCTCAGTGGTTTTGAGGTCTTGGTACGTACCACTCCTTCACCGTCACCTCCATGATCCCCTCCCCAATGTCTGACAGCTTGAACTGGACGATAGGTCCTCGACTCACTGCAGGAGAAACACACAGTGACATCAGTGACATCATCACCACTTCTTGTGACACTGCAGGTGGAGCAGGACTGATGGACTAGAGATAGATATCAGATCGAGACCGGTCACAAAGAGACCTATATTTTATCTGCCAGCTGAACTATGTGATAAAACCTGCTGGTCTGGATTCTCTGAACTCCGAGTCATTACACAAAATCTGAACAGACTCCATCACCAGAAACCAGGAAACACCTGTAACAGGTAACACAGTCTGGTTGGAGGACTCAACACCTGTCAGCTTACTAGATTCCTGAAAACCTGAATCTGGACCAACCAGGTCTGAACTCTGAACTTCAGACTACACAGAATAAACCTGCAGAGGTTTTGGTTTAAACACCAGCAGGTATCAGGTGGTCTGGACTCACCGGCAGTGGAGTGCAGCGTCCTCCTGCTGAACATCTGGAGGTTTCTGTCACAGGTGAAGGCGAGCGGCTGCAGATTCCGGACCGGTCTGAAGTTCTGCAGCCGGAAACATCGGCGGCGGTATTGCTGACTCAGCTGACAGAAAGAGACCAGACAAAGATACATCACCTGTACAGGTAAACAACAAACAGACAGACAGACAGACAGACAGGGACAGACAGGGACAGACAGACAAGGGCAGACAGGGATGGACGGACAGACAGACAGGACAGGTTCTGGCTCTGTTCTGGTTCTAAACTACACAGGCTGATTCAGCAGGTGTTTTGTTGTTTGACTGAAGAAGAAAAGATTTACCTGTTCATGTTGTCCAGGTGTGTCACTGTGACAGAGCTCTCTGAGCTCACCTGGACACAGGTCAGTTTCACAGAACACTGATTTAAATTCAGAAGCTTCATGTGGACTCAGATTCAGATCTGGATCTGAACTACTTTCTACAGAACCTCAGTGAGCCCGTTAGCCGGTAGCTGATTCGCTTGCAGGGTGCTAGCTGAAGGTAACTTATGCTAACTGATAACCAGTGTGTTAGCACGGTGGTGGCTTCAGTTTGTTTTTAATTCAACCAGTTAGCATTAGCATCAGAGTTAGCACGGCAGCAGCAGCTAACAGGCTAAGGTAAGAAGCTATCCGGGTGACGGAGTGATGACATGACATTAGCTCGACGTTAGCATCAGACCGTTTTAAACGTTTAACCATCTAAACTTTTAAACATGAATCGGGTTTTTTCCTCACCAGCCGTCTGAGCGCACTGAACGAGCCTCTGGTCACCGCCGCCATCTTTCCTCTCCTCCACACGTCACAACCGCACGCCCCTCTCAGCAGCCAATCAGCGCGCAGAGTCTTCTTCCTCTTCGTCTCTGGCGGATTTGCCGTAACGCTGCCACCCAGCGGTTAGCGGAAGAACAGCAAGTAGTTCAAACCCTACAGATTTAACTTTTTTTGCAGTCACCTCAGTAACTTTATACATTTCTTTCATTGATTTTATTAAAAGAGAAAACCCATTTATTTTATAATAGATTTCTTTTATTTTTCTGTTTGATGCTGAAACATTTTGATTTTGAAATTAAATTTAGAAATTTAATTAGTGGACTTTATCAGAATATTAGCAGCCGTGTCATACTACCTAATGGCACCACTCACAGCTTTAAGATTAATGTAGCAATTCCTCGGGGTTGGCTCATTTCATTTATTTGTTTAGATTAGTCAAAGAAATGTTAGCAACTTAACTTAAAAATTGTAATGACATTAAAAGATAAAGAGGGGAGATATTGTCACCTGCTGGTTGGCTGATGAAAATATTTTGAAACAATATCTTAAAGGATAGGTTTCAAATTGCAATAACTATTAAAAAAATATAAAATGATCAGGATTAATATTAAACTTGAAAACGTGAACTATTTGCTGTACACGACACACCACTAAAAGATATTTTTGATATTTCTATCAAGTTAGAAATTAACGCGCCTCCTACATTTATAGAAACATAATAACTTAATAACTTTGGCTTCATGAAAAAGTGATTTGAACAAAACTAGATGAACATTTATCAGCAGTTTATTTTATATCATCGGAACAATAACTGGATTTTATTTTGAAGGCAGTCGGAAAGGGCTGTAGCGCACAGCGAGAAGTTTCAACCGAAGAAGAAGCAAAAGAAGAAGAGAGCGGCTCGGTGCTACCATCACGTTTCTGTGTAAAAGTGAAAGTTTGGTGTTGTGAGCGAAAATGGACCCGGTGGCGGCGGCTGTGGCGGCGGCGAAGGAGATCGACGGCAGCGTGATGGAGGGAGTGAGTAATCGCAATTTGTTTACCGGAGAAATATTCCGCGCTGCTAACGCGCTAACACAAGGCTAACGGCGGCGGGTAGCAGCCGGGAGATGCCGGTGCTGAGCTCAATGATGTCTGTTCTGTTTCCCGGTGTCGGTTCTCTGCAGGGCGGACAGATCCTGAGAGTCTCCGCGGCGCTCAGCTGCATCACCGGTTCCGCAATCAAAATCTCCAAAGTCCGAGCCGGCAGGAGCACACCGGGGATCAGGTGAGGAGGCAGCCCCGCGGCTAACAGGCTAATGTTAGCCTATTCATTAAAGTTGAGTCGTTGGCTAACTTAGTTAGCAGATGTCCACAGAGAACAATAAACGCTCCGTTACTGGTGTTGTTCATTCTTTTATTCCGCTCTGATCTCAGGCCTCTTTCTGTTCATCAAACGCCTCCCGCTTCACTGCTGCTGGGAAACGAGACGCCAACCAGACTCCATTCAAAATTCATGTATAATAAGAATATCTGAGTTGTCAATCAACACACACAACTCCTGAATCTGGGCACAGATATTCAGACACTCAGTAAAAAACGCTTTTTAATTCGGTATCATCACTCTGATCACAGCGGCTCTAAATTCATGAAACTTTAACAGAGACTTGAAGTTATTTTTCTGATTCTCTGCCGCAGTCTTTCTTCCAGAAAAGTCCGTGAATGGCGTCATCAAGCAGCCGGGAACCAATTAAATAAATTTGATTTTATTGATTAGATATTGCTGCTTTAAAAGCTCTGATTTCAGTTTCCTGTGTAAAAAACAAAAAAGCAAAAAAGAAAACTTTGTGAATCCAGTTTCTGCTTCATGAGGATTTCTAGTTTCATACGGAGGAGCAGCAACAACAGTGTGAAGTAAACATCGTTAGTTTGAGGCATCCTTGGTTTTCAGTGATCTTTCAGATTTTGGACAAAATGACTGTGAAACAGGTTTTAGATTATGTACGATGTGTTTTTGAAAATGTTTGTTGTGTTCAAATTTTGTGTGTATGTGTTCAGACCGCAGCACCTGAGCGGCCTACAACTGGTCTCAGATCTGTGCTCTGGCAGTCTGCAGGGAGCCAGCATCGGCTCCACCGACATCAGTCTGACTCCAGGAAAGATCCAATCTGCAAACCACACCGCCGACACACAGACAGCAGGGTGAGACTGGATCTGTCAGACAAGTGGTCTGAGGGGGGGCACGGGTCCTCCAGGAGGATCGGGTTTTTATGGAGGATTGGTGGATGGGACAGTTTCAGACGGATGACTGGATGACATCATCCACATGAGACAGTAGTTTAGGGTTCTTTACAAAACCTGATGTGTGTGTGTGTGTGTGTGTGTGTCTGTCAGGAGTGTGTGTCTGCTGCTGCAGGTCGCTCTGCCCTGTGCTCTGTTTGCTGATGCCTCCTCACAGCTCTGTCTGAAGGGAGGAACCAACGCTGAGATGGCTCCTCAGATCGACTACACTGTCAAGGTCTCACACACACACTGCAGACAGACTAGAAGATCTGCTGACTCACTGATCAGTGATCAGTCTGATCAGCTTATCCTGACATGTTCTGATCAATGAATCTGTGTTTTTCTTCTTCAGGTGTTTAAACCCATTGTGGAGAAGTTTGGAGTCCATTTTGACTGTGACATCAGAATGAGGTCAGTCTACTGTCCACTGTTACAGACATTACAGCTGCGTGTGTGTGTGTCTGTCTGTCTGTCTCACTCTGTGTGTGTCTCTCAGGGGTTACTACCCTAAAGGTGGAGGTGAGGTGATGGTGACAGTGAACCCGGTGAAAGAGCTGCTGCCGGTCACCATGACGGAGAGAGGAAACATCACCAAGATCCACGGCAGAGCGTTCGTCGCTGGAGTACTGCCCTTCAAAGTAAAGTTACACCACAGCACACATCACTGTGATTATACAGCTGGGTTTTTGTTGTGCTGACTGTAGTTCTTGGTGTTGTATGGTGCTGACTAGGGAAGGGCGCAGGTAATTTCCTTGGTCGATCATCTGGAAAAAAGAGAGCCTCTTTTTCTTCATCGAAATCTTTATTCCAAGAAGAAATTATAGTCCAACAACAATCCTCTTAAACAAGGCAGTTAAAGTTTAATAGTTTAACTTTTAAACAGAACAAAAAAGATATTTAGCGCTCCTAAAGGCAGCGGGGCCTGAGGCTCTGAGCCAAATCTCTTCACAAATAACAAGCCAAAGCTACGGCGCTTGTAAACGGCGTTGCAATGTTTACAATGTGCTTTGTTATTTTTCAGCTCGATATGTTCCCACACCAAACTTTCCCTTGCTCACGTTTACGTGCGATGCTGTAGTTCTTGGTGTTGTATGGTGCTGACTGTAGTTCTCGGTGTTGTACGGTGCTGACTATAGTTCTAGGTGTTGTACGGGGCTGACTATAGTTCTTGGTGTTGTGTGGTGCTGACTCTAGCTCTGTGTCGTCTGGTGCTGACTGCAGTTCTAGGTGTTGTTTGGGGCTGACTGTAGTTCTAGGTGTCGTACGGTGCTGACTATAGTTCTAGGTGTTGTACGGGGCTGACTATAGTTCTTGGTGTTGTGTGGTGCTGACTCTAGCTCTGTGTCGTCTGGTGCTGACTGCAGTTCTAGGTGTTGTTTGGGGCTGACTGTAGTTCTAGGTGTCGTACGGTGCTGACTATAGTTCTAGGTGTTGTACGGGGCTGACTATAGTTCTTGGTGTTGTGTGGTGCTGACTCTAGCTCTGTGTCGTCTGGTGCTGACTGCAGTTCTAGGTGTTGTTTGGGGCTGACTGTAGTTCTAGGTGTCGTACGGTGCTGACTATAGTTCTAGGTGTTGTACGGGGCTGACTATAGTTCTTGGTGTTGTGTGGTGCTGACTCTAGCTCTGTGTCGTCTGGTGCTGACTGCAGTTCTAGGTGTTGTTTGGGGCTGACTGTAGTTCTAGGTGTCGTACGGTGCTGACTATAGTTCTAGGTGTTGTACGGGGCTGACTATAGTTCTTGGTGTTGTGTGGTGCTGACTCTAGCTCTGTGTCGTCTGGTGCTGACTGCAGTTCTAGGTGTTGTTTGGGGCTGACTGTAGTTCTAGGTGTCGTACGGTGCTGACTATAGTTCTAGGTGTTGTACGGGGCTGACTATAGTTCTTGGTGTTGTGTGGTGCTGACTCTAGCTCTGTGTCGTCTGGTGCTGACTGCAGTTCTAGGTGTTGTTTGGGGCTGACTGTAGTTCTAGGTGTCGTACGGTGCTGACTATAGTTCTAGGTGTTGTACGGGGCTGACTATAGTTCTTGGTGTTGTGTGGTGCTGACTGTAGTTCTAGGTGTTGTACGGTGCTGACTATAGTTCTTGGTGTTGTGTGGTGCTGACTGTAGTTCTTGGTGTTGTATGGTGCTGACTGTAGCTGTATTTTTTGTTGTGCGTCTTCAGTTGGCTAAAGACATGTCGACTGCTGCTGTCAGAACCATCAGGAAGGAAATCAAAGAACTTTACATCAACATCCAGCCGCTGCAGGAAAAAGAAAAGGCCTATGGTAACGGCAACGGCATCATGTAAGCCCCCACCCGCTGACATCACCTGCTGACATCACTGTCCATGCTGTGTTCACTGTGAGGGAGAAGGATAGGAAATAACCTTTAAACAGAATACCACTGAAAATTCAATTGTACTGCAGAATGTTTTCTGTAGTTGTAACTGTCAATCTTTGTTTTTCCCACATGAAGTGAATGCAGCATCATTGAGGTTATTGCTGTGTCTCAATTCACATACTTCCATACTCACAGTTACTTTTGTCACACTGACAACTATAACAGTCGCCATCTTGGCTACGTAGCAGAAGGGGAGGGGCCGCCAACATGTGGCTAGCGGAAATCACAGCCTCCTTAGCTGCTGCGCTCTGATTGGTCCGTCTGTGTTTCAGAATCATCGCTGAGTCGTCGACAGGTTGTCTGTTTGCAGGTTCAGCTCTGGGGAAGAAAGGTGAGGATGTCACCTGAGAGATCGCAGGAGGCAGCAACACACACACACACCTGAGATTTATTATTGTATACCATAATATACTATTAAACTGATCTACACTGTTAATTTTTTACTAATTAACTGACATTGAAATGTCTATTGGTTTTTGGTTAAATGTATTAAGTCTGGTCTTTGTACCAAAGTAAACACCTGAGAGTTTCAACCAGGAAGGTGTGAACAGACAGCCAGGTAAACATGTATACTCACGTGTGTGTGTGTGTGTGTGTGTGTGTGTGTGTGTTTCAGGTGTGTATGCAGATAAAGTTGGTATTGAAGCTGCTGAGATGTTGTTGAGAAACATCAGACACAACGGCTGTGTGGATGAGTTCCTGCAGGACCAGGTGAGCCACACACCTGCTGACCTCACTCTGACCTCACTCTGACCTCACTCTGACCTCACTCTGAACCCTGATCTCCTCTTCCTCCTCAGCTCATCATCTTCATGGCGTTGGCAAAGGGAACGTCTCGGATTCGAACAGGAGCCGTGACGTTGCACACACAGACGGCCATCCACATCGCAGAGCAGCTCACTCAGGTCAGACACAGCTCGCGCCATACATCGATCCAGCCATCAATTCATCTTTTCATCCATCCATCAATTCATTCTTCAATTCATTCATCCATCCATCCATCCATTCATCAATTCATTCATTGGTATCAGCAGGATAACTGATTGGTTCCTGTTCAGTAAAGACGATTGAAAGAATAAAAATTCTTTAATTTAAAGTCGTCAGGGAAGTTTCACTTTAAATGTATAAATATAAATGTACAATATACATACAAATATAAAAACAAACAAAGTTTATTTAACATCAACATTTACCCAGACATCCTCATCAGTCTTCTTAGGTTGCTCTGAGGCTCTGTAAAGTCTTCATACATTTAAATACAACATGAATCAGTATGATGGTTCTGACAGTGATGAGTTCACTGCTTTCAGGTGTATTCACCTGGATTAACACGTTTTTGTTTTTCTGTTTTCAGGCAAAGTTCTCAATAACAAAGTGTGAGGACGAGCTGAGCAGTAATGTCAACCACATCATCGAATGTCAAGGATCAGGAGCCACCAACCTCAACCTGTAGAGAGAGAGAGACACACACACACACACACACACACACACACACACACACACACACACACACACACACACACACAAACACCCCAACTGTCTCCGTACTGGACTCGGTAGCTGCTCCTGTCATGGCCAACCCTCTTAGCTTCTGTCTCTCAGGGTGTTTCCTTAAATACTGTAATAAATAAATAAAAGTCTTTCCAACGTTCACGGGTTCTTGTCTGTTTTGTGTGTGTGTGGTAGAGCAGAGCTTCTCATTCAGACACCGATGATGTCACTGCTTCAGACAGAAACAAAGCTACAAACTGTGTGTGTGTATATTGTGTATAAGGTATCAGGTTGTTTGCAGACTGACTGGTGGATTAAACACTGACCCTGACTGTGAACCTGGTTGTAATAAGCTGTGCAGCCTGTGGGGGGGGGCTGAGGTCACCTGACAAGGTGAAAGGTGAGGTGGAGGTTCAAACTGAATAAGAGGAGTGGACAAATGTGTCACATCAGTTTAAAATCTGAATATGATCCTTGAGGTCAAAGGTCAGAGATGTGACTGCAGCTGGAACAGGCTGACTGAGCTGAGATACAGGTGAGTCCAGGTGTGTCTGTGTTTGAGGTTTATTTATCTTTACATTACTGTGTTTGTCTTCTGGAGTCAGTGTTGAATTCTGTGAACTGTAGTTTCCCTTGGTTGTAGTTTTTCTCAGACAGGTGTGTCTGTCTGTGCAGAATGAAGACAGGTGACCTGCTCTGGGCCGGGACCTAGACTTCCTGTGTTCCGTCTTGTTTCTGTGATGTCATCAGCGTGGTGTCGTGTTGTTGTCCCTCTAACTTCTTTAACTCACCTGCGGCAGGTGAGCTGATGTACAGTGTATACAGCAGGAAGTCCTCAGACCTGAATGTGTGTTGAAACCTGAGGAGGCTGTAAACTCACACCTCTGTCCCCTTTGGAACCAGGAGTAACCTGATCCAGGTCACCTGACACCTCCTCACCTCCGCCCAGCGCTGTCCTCACAGTCTGCTCGCCACCCTGCAGCATGGCAGACGCCTGGAGGACGCACCAGGATGGCCCCCGCATCCTCCAACCAGGAACAGGTTTGGGACCAGCGCCAGGGCCAGGAGTGGGATTAGGACTGGGGCCAGGGCCGGGGCTGGGGCCAGGGCCAGGGCCAGGGCCAGGACAATGTCCAGGACCAGGACCAAGACCAGCTCCAAACCGTGTGTGGATCTCCCTGATCGCAGGTGAGTTTGAGGGTCAGCACACTTTGAAGGACTAGTCCAGGATCTAAACCTCCATCTGAACCTGCAGTCTGATGTCCTAGAATCAGCCAATCAGGTTCAATCAATCCACCTGTTCCCAAGACAAATAACCTGGTTTCAAGAATTTCCCAGTGTCCACATTCAGCAGGTCTATTTGGTTCAGGTCCAAAACTGAAAGTAAGTAGCACTGACTGGATCAGGACGAGTCATTTCACTGAGGTGTAGAGAAAAAATAAAAGAAATAAAAGAAAAGTAAACAAGTAACAAAAGAAACTGAGTAGATTTTTGCTTTCATATTTGTCTTCATCAGAGACTGAAAAACCTGAAAATAAATAAGTAAATAAATAACTAAACGAATAAATACATAAATAAATATAAGCTGTATTTTTATGTTATGAATGCTTTAAAAACGGCTCCGTCATATTAAGAAACGGTGAATAAACCTCAATAATCAGACGAAGAAAACTCTTGTATAACTTCACTGTAAAAGTTCTGTAAAATCCGTTTGTTCCTGTCGATATCTGAAAGCCACATCGCTCCTGTTTCCCTGCTGACAATGAAGGCAGCACGGTGCGTTGTGGTTGCTGATTGGCTGTGGTTGCTGTGGGAGCGGTTCCCGTCGCTATGGTAACGTGTCTTAAAGAGGGATTCCTCAATCAGAGTTGCAGACTCCGGGAGCATCGTCAAGCCGTTGGTGTGCTTATATGCTAACATGCTAGCCCGGGAAGATTTACCGGATAAAAAAAACGGAAAAACAAACAACGAAACCGGTAGGCAAGGTTCCTCCGCGCGTGAAGATCTGTCGCAGTGACTAATGGGAAACCGAGGACAAAGTTTTAAACTTTATAAACAGTCTGCGTTCGGCTGCTGCTATCTTGCTATCTGCTAGCTGCTAGCTGTTAGCAGTTTGTAAAGTTTCTGAGGCTGTGGAAGGAGGGGGGGTCCATGACGGGGGAGGGAGTCCGGCACTCCCCGATCCTATCGGCCCTGTTCAGGATGAGCGAGGACCCGGAGCTGCTGGGAGCTGCTGAGCTTATCAAAGGTAAAACAATGTTAAAGTGAGACAATAATTAATCATAATATTAAAGAGTTTTTAATAAACATAAAGAGTTTATCAAAGGTAAAATAAAATGAAAGTGAGACAATAATTAATAATAATATTAAAAGTTTAATAAATATAAAGGGTTTATCAAAGGTAAAATAAAACTGATTAATTAAAGATAAAATAGTTAAGTGAAAGTAGATCTGAGTTTAATAAAGAGTTTGAATAATGTTAAAGTGAAAAAGACTTTAATAAAAACTTTATCAAAGGTAAAGAAGATAAAGTGAGACAAGAGTTTAATAAGGTTTGAGTAAGGAGTTTAATAAATAGTTTATCAAAAGTAAAGAAGTTAGAGTGAGAGAAGATAAGAGATTAAAAATTAGGTTATTAATGGTAGAAACAAGTGTGTCAAAGAGTTTAATGAAGATAATGAGATTAATAAAAAAAGGAAGAGTTAATAGAGTTGGGTTGATTGAGCACATTGCCATGGTAACTGCAGGTGGGAACAGAACACAGTGTGAACAGCTGGATATAAACAGCAGGTGACCTCCAGTGAATGAATGGAATGGATATTACTGATATACAGTTAATTGATTGATTACAGTATTGATAAACAGTTGAGTGTGAAAGCTTTACTTTATACTGGAATATTTCAATATATTGACAGGTAGTCAGAGATTATTGAGAAAATGAAAACAATGATAAATAATAATCAAAGATTAATCAATAAGAATAGTAAAATAATTAATTAGTGTTGATATTTACAACAGATTTCTTAGTCAGAGAAAAGTTTTTTACTTGATTGTTGATCTCTGTTCTGTAGTGTGTTTGATCTGCTCAGGAAACAAAATGCGTTCAGTCTCAGTAACGACAAAATAAAATAATTTCAATTTGCTCCAGACGTGTTGTTTTTATAGAGTTTTTTTTATTATTATTATTATACATTATATTTTGATTTATTTATATTATATTTAGACTGCCCCCTCTCTGTCTCCATCAGAGCGTCTGTACTTCGCCACGTTACGCAGTAAACCGAAGAGCACAGCCAACACGCACTACTTCTGCACTGATGATGAGTTCCTCTACGAGAAGTAAGTCGATCACATGATGTTAACCTGCTGCACTGCATTCTGGGTACAGTCATAGACGATGCTGCAGATGTCCTGTATGATCCTGTATAATGTCCAGACTCTCTGTGTGAGGACACTCTGATTGGTTGAATGTAAGCACAGTGAATACGTTGATGAGACAGTGAACAAATATAATATGATGGATTGTTACACTTTCTTCTTACTTTCATTAGTAGTTTTTAAACTACAGGTCCCATCATGCTCTGGGGGGATATATGTTACCATGGAGTCAGTGAGCTCTCTGTGAGCTACTACTGTTTTTCTGCCATGTGCTTTTATTTTGGTGAAACTTGAACAGGCAGGAATTGAAAGCTCATCAGGTTTGATGATTGATTTCATTTATTAATAAACCTCCTGATTCTGAGTCACAGTGGATTAACTGAGCAATCATTATACAACTAATCAACAGATTCATCAATGATAATAATCTGATAAGAATTAGTTACAGAGTTTGAAAAGTTATCACAGCTGTTGTTATGGAAACATAAACACACATGCACACACACACACACACACACACACACACAGCAGATCTGCAACAGAGAGGATTTATTTTAATTGAAGATTAAACTGCAGGTCTGAGATCAGTGTCATGTGAGTCCAGGATTAAACCAGAGAGCTGGTCCTGGACTGTGTGGTTCAGGGTCCAGCTGGTCCTGGACTGTGTGGTTCAGGTCTCATGTTGACTGACTGTGTCTCTGTGTTCAGCTTCTACGCAGACTTCGGTCCTCTGAATCTGGCCATGTTGTACCGATACTGCTGCAAACTCAACAAGAAGCTGAAGGTGAGTTTCCGCTGCTGACATGCCCTCAGCAGGAATGCCTAGAATGCAACAGGGCAGGCGCAGCATTACACAACGTCAGATTCAGACCATCCCACAACAGATTGAGCAGGTGTCGTCTCTCAGGTGACTTTATACAGGTGAACAGAGGGAATAGTGTAACGTGTGTCCTGCTGCCTTCAAGTGCTGCAGGAATTTAATAACCTGAAGAACAAACTTCTCACTGCTTCAACTCATTCAGTCACAGTGGAGCGTCAGACTGTGTGTGTGTGTGTGCACGCATGTGTGCATATTCTATATAAGGTTGAAACACCTGAGACACAGCTCAGAGTCTGATGATGATGGTGAAGATGATAGTGATGATGGAGAGATGAAGATGATAATTACATTTTCATTTTTACTCACAACACAAACACGTGGAGATCATAATGCTGTTGAATATTGTCCCCTACAGGCTTCCATACTCTCAGGAGTAAATCCTGACTAACCTCAGGAATCTGATCTAAAACATAACATCAGTTATCATCATTAATGTCTGTTACCTAGCAACAGACACTATTCATATCATCTCACTGAGGTGTTTGTTATTCCTCTGTCCAGCGACAGTCAGAGCAGCAGCCAATGTGTTTTCAGGTTGTCCGTAAGTATGTCCCGTTCTCATAAACATGATATCTCAGTAACGTCTTGACAGAACTTCTTCAAATTTGGCACAAACATTCATCTACACTCCAGGATGAACTGATTAGAATTTTGTGGCTAAAGATCAAAGGTCAAGGTCACAGTAACCTCAGAAAACACCTTTTAGCCATTACCCAAGACGTTACACAGAAATTATGACAAAGTTTCACACAAATGAAACAGGGATGTAACCTGAAACTAGTCTGAGTGGAGGAGGTGACCCTAGAGAAGAGAACCTGGTGAGTTAGAGCTCTGTAGCATCTGCTCAGACTGTAGACTCTGTCCCTGTTATGTCCTGTGATAAAGAGAGTAAACACACTGACAGAGTTCTCCTTCAACATAACAAGTCCTACCTCGTTAGTCGCCGGCCTCGTTGTCATTTCATTGGTTGTGTAAAAGTAAGAGGTGGACAGGTGAAAGTCAGGACAGATTAAAGTTTCCATCCTCAGGTAGAACCCTCATCGCCATGGTTACTCGTCTGCCTCCACGAGCAGCACTGAGGGTGAGTGTGATGTCACTGTGGGTGATGTATGAGCTGCAGTCAGACACTAATGACAAGAGACAGGTCACTGTGAGAATCAGCAGCAGGACGTCAGTTATTTCTGCTCTAACCAGCTCATCACACGATCTACTGAAGGTCATAACAATCTGTCCCAGTGTGACATCTTCAGACTCATTACTGTGGTGGTTGTTGGTGGTTCGATTGACTGACCTGTCGCCCAATCACTGCTGCTCGTCTTCTTCTTCTCTGCAGTCCTTCACTCTGACCAGGAAGCGAATTGTTCACTATACAAGCTTCGACCAGAGGAAGAGATCCAATGCTGCCGTGCTGATCGGAGGATACGCTGTGAGTACACACTTGCTCTTCCGGTCTATGCGCAGAGTCCTCGATCAGGTGACCTCACAAATCACAGTGTTGGTCTTTAGAACGTGTTATCTCCATAACGCCTCCAGGGAACTTCTTCACATCTGGTAAAAACATTCCCCTGGAATGAAGGAGATTTTGGTGGCTGGGTCAAAGGTCAAGGTCAGACAGCACCTTTTAGCCATTACTCAAGACTTCACACAAATGGTTCATATTTTATATGACTCTGGATAAACAGGGATGTAACCTGAAACTAAAGTGTGTTAGCAATAGCAGCCTTCACTGATCACTCACTGTTTGTCATGTTTAAATGATTGAATATTTACTGTGACTCATAACGTTTACCTGTAATAACCTGTGTAAACAGTCTAAACATGTGAAGCTGGTTCTGACTGTCTGTCTTTGTGTCAGGTGATCTACCTGAAGAAAACACCTGAAGAAGCCTACAGAGCTCTGATCTCTGGATCAAATGCGTCCTACCTGCCCTTCAGGTGAGTCTGTGACTGGAAGAATAAAGTTAGTTTAAAGCTTCAGTTTGTTTCTGAGGCTCAAACTGAAAGAGAGGTGTGTGTGTGTGTGTGTGTGTGTGTGTGTGTGTGTGTGTGTGTGTGTGTGTGTGTGTTTTGAGGATAAAGGGCTCTTTGTTGTCACACACACATTTAGTGGTTATATAACAGCAGAGCGACTCTGTTCCTCTGTGTGATGAGGAGGACACGCCCCCTGCTGTGAGGTTTGCACTGATTGGCTGAGAGCAGAATGAAACGCTTGTTTATGTTACAGTGAACATGCAGCCATTTAAATGGAGTGAACTTCCTGTCTGAGACACAATGGAAGCCTGAATCTGTGTGTGTGTTGACAGAAGGTGAACACACACCTGTGCAGGTGTGGTCTGATGTCATCAGCTGATGTCTGTGAGCTGTAAAGGTTAGTCTGAGGTTGCTGCTGGTCCTGGACCTGCTGCAGCTGACAGTCAGAGCTCTAACTGTCAGCTGCAGCTCCTCCTCAAAACAAAAGGTTTTTCATGGTTTAAGAAGAAGAGGTTAAAACTTAAATCATCAGTAATCATCATGAATCCCTCTGCTCTGCTCAGTGGGGTTTCACAGCTGCAGTTTGTTCAGCTGCTCCTGGTCACAGATCGATACCCCCCCCCCTCTATTCTCTGTCTCTCTGCTCTGTCTCTCGTCTCTCTGATATCTCTCTCTGCTCTCTCTCTCTGCTTCTCTTCTTTCTCTCGTCTCTGTCTTCTCTCTCTCTGTCTCTCTTCTCTGTCTCTCTTCTCTCGCTCTGTCTCTCTTTCTCTGTCTCTGTCTCTCTCTCTGTCTCTCTCTCTGTCTCTTCTCTCGCTCTCTCTCTCTGTCTCTCTCTCTTGTCTCTCTCTATCTCTCTCTCTCGTCCTACTGTCTCTCTCTCTCTGTCTCTTCTCTATTCTCTCTCTCGTTCTCTCTCATCGTTATCTTTCCTCTCTCTCTGTCTCTCTCTCTGTCTCTCTCTGTCTCTCTGTCTCTCTCTCTATCTCTCTCTGTCTCTCTCTCTCTGTTTCTGTCTCTCTCTCTCTTTCTCTCTCTCTCTCTCTGTTTCTGTCTCTCTCTGTCTCTCTCTGTTTCTGTCTCTCTCTCTCTGTTTCTGTCTCTCTCTCTGTCTCTGTCTCTCTGTTTCTGTCTCTCTCTGTCTCTCTCTGTTTCTGTCTCTCTCTCTCTGTTTCTGTCTCTCTCTCTGTCTCTCTGTTTCTGTCTCTCTCTGTCTCTCTCTGTTTCTGTCTCTCTCTTTGTCTCTCTCTGTCCCTCTCTCTGTTTCTGTCTCTCTCTGTCTCTCTCTCTGTTTCTGTCCCTCTCTCTCTCTTTGTCTCTCTCTCTGTCCCTCTCTCTCTCTCTCTCTCTTTCTCTGTACAGGGACGCGTCCTTTGGAAAGTGCAGCTACAGCCTGACTCTGCTGGACTGTCTTCAGGGAATCAGGAAGGTGAGATTTTAAGATTCACTTTTTACACCTTGGTGTTTTTCAACTCAAGTCATCAGAGGAAAAATTGATACAGCTCAGAGATGTCTGTGTACACTGAAGAGCTTCAGTGAGAATCTGTTTTATTCAGAGAACAACTCCCATAATCCCCCACTGCTTCATGACATCACCAGACTCTGTCTTTTGTTATTGTTTAGACTGAGAGACACCCTAGAGACAGAAGAGACCGACCGTGTTTAAGTCAAGATGAATAATAATGGAGTTCACACAAACATTTACAGACTGAACCAACATGTTACATAACGTGTGTGTGTGTGTGTGTGTGTGTGTGTGTGTGTGTGTGTGTGTGTGTGTGTGTGTGTGTGTGTGTGTGTGTGTGTGTGAATGCAGCCAATCAACAGGAGAACGAATGAAAACATGAAGGATGTGACGTCTCCTGTCTGTAACAGCTGTTTGTCAGCTCTGATGAAACTGAGCAGGTGTGATCAGCTGATGATCAAGCAGCTGCTGTGTTCTGGTTCTTGTTGTTGAGTGAGTGTGCCGGTGTGTTTCAGGCTCTGCAGCACGGTTTCTTTGACTTCGAGACCTTCGACGTGGACGAGTACGAACACTACGAGGTAAAAACCAGGACTGGCTGCTGAATCACCTGCACAGAATGAAACCAGCAGCAGTCAGTCCTCCTCTTGCACACTCATCAATTATTTAGACAGAAGAAGAAGAAGAAGAAGTCGACCTCTGGAAACCAGCAGAGACTTACAGACCTTCACCAGACTCAGTCCAGACTCGTGATAATGACAGAACAGAAAACTAGATGAGAGAAAATAAGAAACGATTGATCAGAAGAGAAACTGAAGGAGACGTGACATCTGAAGGTGGTCCAGGTCTCAGTGTTCAGGGGCTGCAGAGAGGGACTGCAGCCCCCCCTCAGGAGGATCAATGTACTTTTCACACCAGCAGACAGCTACTGTTTACTAGACCTCAGTCCTGTTTGTCCTCCTCTCAGTCCTGAGTCTGTCCACATGTCCTGTCTTTAGTCTTTGGGTCTGATATGGTCTCTGTCTGTCCACAGCGGGTCGAGAACGGAGACCTGAACTGGATCGTCCCGGGGAAGTTTCTGGCCTTCAGTGGACCTCATCCTAAAACTAAAGTAGAGAACGGTGAGTTCAGAGACGAGCTGCGTCCAACAGACTGAGACTGAAGACAGACTGTGGACATGTTCTTTGATTTATGCTGTCTGAACTCACACTACGTTTTTATTTTAAAACACAACCCCAGAGTTTTCAAAATAAAACAGCTCCAGCAGAGTTTACGAAAGTCTCTGTTTTCGGTGTTCAAAGATGCCAGGGTCGTGTGGACAGGAGTGGAAAACGTAGCAAAAGTCGATGCGTTTTAAAACGAGAACGTAGAAGTGTAGATGTAGCCTCAGCTGTAACACCTGTGCTGGCCCTGCCCCCTGCAGGTTACCCTCTCCACGCCCCCGAGGCTTACTTCCCGTACTTCAGGAAACACAATGTGACGACTGTCGTCCGCCTCAACAAGAAGATCTATGAATCCAAACGTTTCAGCGACGCCGGCTTCGACCACTACGACCTCTTCTTCCTCGACGGCAGCACGCCCAGTGACATCATCACACGCCGCTTCCTGCACATCAGTGAGCGCACGGACGGAGCTGTGGCCGTCCACTGCAAAGGTGAGGACGTCCTGTCCAGAGCTGCAGCTCACTGTTAATACAACACTGATCAGCACAGTTTTTAATTAACTGATTATTGTACAAAGATGACTCTTACTCTGTGTATGTTTCTGACTCTGACTCTGACTCTGACTCTGTCTCTGACTCTGACTCTGACTCTGACTCTGTCTCTGTCTCTGACTCTGACTCTGACTCTCTCTGACTTTCTGTCTGACTTTGTCTCTGACTCTGACTCTGACTCTGTCTCTGACTCTCTCTGACTTTGTCTCTGTCTATGTCTCTGACTCTGACTCTGACTCTAACTCTTTCTCTGACTCTGACTCTGACTCTGTCTCTGTCTCTGACTCTGACTCTGACTCTGACTCTTTCTCTGACTCTGACTCTCTCTGACTTTCTGTCTGACTTTGTCTCTGTCTCTGACTCTGACTCTGTCTCTGACTCTGACTCTCTCTGACTTTGTCTCTGTCTATGTCTCTGACTCTGGCTCTGACTCTAACTCTGTCTCTGACTCTGACTCTGACTCTAACTCTTTCTCTGACTCTGACTCTCTCTGACTTTCTGTCTGACTTTGTCTCTGACTCTGACTCTGACTCTGTCTCTGACTCTCTCTGACTTTCTCTCTGTCTATGTCTCTGACTCTGTCTCTGACTCTGACTCTGACTCTGTCTCTGTCTCTGACTCTGACTCTGACTCTAACTCTTTCTCTGACTCTGACTCTCTCTGACTTTCTGTCTGACTTTGTCTCTGACTCTGACTCTGACTCTGTCTCTGACTCTCTCTGACTTTGTCTCTGTCTATGTCTCTGACTCTGTCTCTGACTCTCTCTGACTTTGTCTCTGTCTATGTCTCTGACTCTGACTCTGACTCTAACTCTTTCTCTGACTCTGACTCTGGCTCTGACTCTGTCTCTGACTCTGACTCTAACTCTTTCTCTGACTCTGACTCTGGCTCTGACTCTGTCTCTGACTCTGACTCTAACTCTTTCTCTGACTCTGACTCTGGCTCTGACTCTGTCTCTGACTCTGACTCTAACTCTTTCTCTGACTCTGACTCTGGCTCTGACTCTGTCTCTGACTCTGACTCTAACTCTTTCTCTGACTCTGACTCTGGCTCTGACTCTGTCTCTGACTCTGACTCTAACTCTTTCTCTGACTCTGACTCTCTCTGACTTTCTGTCTGACTTTGTCTCTGTCTCTGACTCTGACTCTAACTCTGTCTCTGACTATGCCTTTGTGGCTGACTCTGACCTGTCTATGACTCTGTCTATGTCTCTCTGTCTCTGTCAGCTGGTCTGGGCAGGACGGGCACTCTGATTGGCTGTTACCTGATGAAGCATTACCGCTTCACGGCAGGTGAGGCCATCGCCTGGATCAGGATCTGCAGACCGGGCTCTGTGATTGGACCACAGCAGAACTTCCTGGAAGAGTGAGTCTCTCTGATTGGGTGTTTGTGGTCAGTGAGGGAGGATCCAGGTTTTGATTTATTGGCAGAGAAACAGGGAATGGTCAGCATTATGCACAGGTGCAGGTCTCACTTGACCTAATCCTTTGTGCTCTCTCATAAACCACATCCAGAGACTCCATCCGCTCTTCGTCTTCTTTTTATGCTGCTTCTGCGTCTTCTTCTTCTTCTGCTCCTCCTTCTTTTTTCTTCTTCTGTTTCATCTTCTGCTTCTTCTTCTTCTACTGCTTCTTCTTCTGCGTCTTCTTTTTCTTCTGCTTCTTCAAGTGGTTGAACACTGATCACAGCAAATCATCAGCTGACTGTGACATCACAGATATGATATAACAGCTGTGATGGTCTAGTTGAGGTCACCTGACCCTGTGTATGTGTTCACAGGAAGCAGGCAGCACTGTGGTTACTAGGAGACAGCGAACGTTCCCAGAAGGCCAAGATGCTGGAGGAGAGGGTGGTGTCTCACCTCATCACCAGTATGGATGACCTTACTTTAAACTCCACCCACAACAGCAACATGTGCAGATCTCCGAGCTCCGACCATCTGCAGGAGGTCACACACACACACACACACACACACACACTCACACTCACACTCACACTCACACTCACACAGACTTTCTCTTCCAGACTGAGGTGACGGACAGTGGTCTGGGTCTGACTCAGGGAGACAAACTGAGAGCTTTAAAGAGCCGGCGGCCCCCCCGCCCCGCCACCACCGGCGCTCTGAGGTACCAGAAACTAATTGAGCAGCTGGTAGATTTCAGAGTGACTCATGTCTGACATGTGGATGTAAAGTGACTATTTTCTTTCAGAGTGGAGGAGATGAAGATTCACAGTAGATCAGCCTCTCAGCCGCTCAGGTACCAGTCAACTCCAACCTCTCACCTCTGACCCTGAAGCTGTAGTGTCATCACACAGAAGACACAATCACATACAACTCCACTCTTTAGTTGTTCATCCTGTCTGCTTCTCATAGTCCGGATCCAGGACCAGGTTCCTGTGGTTACATTCAGAGCTCTGCAGTGTCCAAACCAGCAGCAGGTCTCTGAGGTCTGACCAGGATCTGACCAGAAGAACCACATTATTTATCCTGATGTTTTAGACCAATAACGTGTTTGTGTGTGTGTTTTCAGGTTGTCAATGGGGGTGTGTCAGGGCCCCTCCTCCCCTCTCAAGTCCTCCAAGTTCCCAGCATCCTCTGCTTCTGCTGCAGCCAAGAGGATCGGGAGAAGTCCTTCGTCGTCAGCGTCAAACATAAGGAGGTCAGTGTCACCACCAGCTTCCTGTCTCACTCCCACTCCTCTTCATCACCTCTTCTTCAGTTTAACCAATGTATTTTAAGTCTTTGTTAAACCTGACCTGATCCTGGTTTAAACCTGACTTGATCCTGGTTTAAACCTGACTTGATCCTGCTTAGATCTTGGTTAAACCTGACTTGATCCTGGTTTTGATCTTCGTTAAACCTGACTTGATCCTGGTTTAAACCTGACTTGATCCTGCTTAGATCTTGGTTAAACCTGACTTGATCCTGGTTTAGATCTTCGTTAAACTTGACTTGATCCTGGTTTAAACCTGACTTGATCCTGGTTCAGATCTTTGTTAAACCTGACTTGATCCTGGTTTAAACTTGACTTGATCCTGCTTTAGATCTTTGTTAAACCTGACTTAATCCTCCTTTAGATCTTTGTTAAACCTGACTTGATCCTGGTTTAAACCTGACTTGATCCTGGTTTAGATCTTTGTTAAACTTGACTTGATCTTTGTTAAACCTGACTTGATCCTCCTTTAGATCTTTGTTAAACCTGACTTGATCCTGATTTAACCCTGACTTGATCCTCCTTTATATCTTTGTTAAACCTGACTTGATCCTGGTTTAAACCTGACTTGATCCTGGTTTAGATCTTTGTTAAACCTGAATTGATCCTGTTGACTCAGGAGTTTATATCAGTGTTTTCTGATCCAGGATCAGCAGGATGTTTTCATAGTATGTTGTCGTGTGTATGTATCACGGTGGTCATGTGTTGTATGTGTGTTGTATGTGATGCCCTACCCCCAGCTCGGCTCTCGGCTCTCGATTGGCCAGCTCTCTCAGTGATCTGTACGCCCCAGACATGGAGGACAGCAGGAAGACTCCCTACTCCTCCCCTCCCCCCTCCTCCTCTTCCTCTGTGTCTCTCAGCCCCGCCCTCTCTACTCTGGTCCCGCCCTCTCTCGGTCGCTATGGTAACAGCCTTCGCAGCATGCAGCACGAAGTTAACAACAACAGCGGTCCATACAGCAGCTCCACGGCGCCCCCCACAGGGAAAAGCTTCGTCCGACCAGGGCCCCAGGACTTCGGGCCCTACAGGGGCCCTGGGCCTTACAGCGCTGTGAAGGGCCCGTCAGGACGCTACCTGAGCCGCTCCATACCTGTAAGTCCTCTGACACAGCAGCAGCTCAGCCCGCCCCTCTCCGATGATTGGTTCTCTCTGTTCTGACATCACTAACACACTGGACAGATCAGCACCTGGTGTTACACCTCTACCTGTTCACCTGTGCACCTTTTCACAGGTACAGGCTCCTCTCTATAAAATCACCTGACACAGTCTTAATCAGCTGCTTCATCATTCTCTGTCTATCCCTCAAACTCAGTGTCACTGAACACAGTGTGATCAATACGTGTGATTAGTGTTCTTAATAATAATGATAATAAGTGACTGCTCACCTGTTCAGGTGAAAGTAGCTCAGAACCTCCTTCAGAAAAATAAAGACAACAAAGTTGGATATTTCGTTTTTATAGTTTGAATTTATTCTTGAAATGACAGCGCTGCGCCCTGATTGATCAGCTGATCATTAAACACAGGAATAAAATCACACTCTGACACCAGGAAATGACACATCTGATTTCAGCTGAGTATTCCACAACTAATCAGATAATTATAATAATAATAATGATTATAATAATAATTACTAATAATAATTAATGATAAACCTGAGCAAAAATAACAGGTTGTACTATGAAGGGGTCAGAACATTTTTTACTCTGTCAACATGTTTCCATTCTCTCACTCACTCACTCACTCACTCACTCACTCACTCACTCACTCACTCACTCACTCACTCACTCACTCACTCACTCATTCACTCACAGGGGGAAGTGGTGGTTGTTGTTGTTTACTGAGGCTGTGGACTCTCTGTCACATTAACATCTCTGACTCTCACTAACATGAAGCTGCTGCTGAGTTAAAGGATCCAGATCTGAGTCTGAGGTCTGAACAGACCCCCCCACCCCACCCCCCCAGGTTTACCTGCTGTCCCTAATAAACTGACCCCTAAGTGTAAAACTAAGTCAAACTTGAGCCAATCAGGTTACAGCGCAGAAGTTGGAGGTAAGTCTGACAGGTGTTATGAGCTGGAGATAATTAATGAAAACCCATGTCTGCAGCCAATTGATCAGTACTGATCAGTTTTCAGTGGCTGAGGAGGAGGAGCAGCGACCTGTGACCTTTGACCTGTGAAGTGTGTAATGCTGCTTTAACAGTGATGATTTGTTCATGTGTTTCAGTCTCTTCAGTCTGACTACATCCAGTACTAAAACTACACACCTGACCTGAAGACACATTACCCACAATCCTCCCTGACTACCCACAATCCCTCCTGTGTTGGATGCTCAAAGGGAAGCTGATGACTCTCCGTCAGGACTGAGAGGCAGAGTCAGACTGTTTGTAAATATGATGTAATGTACACACGTGTGTTTGTCTGCAGAAGATTTATTTAGATAAAGAAGAAGATTTTATATTTGTGACTGAAGAAACTTATTTTTGTTTTAATGAAGATCATTTTTTGATAAACAGAAGAATCAGCTGACGAGGACTTCTCTGTTGTCATGGTTACAGTGTTTACTTCTGTGTGAAGGACTTTTATTTTGTAATCAACAGCAATAATGATGATAAATGACCATAATAATGATAGAAGAAGAAGAAGAATAATGTCAGCAACAAACTCAGGGTGTGTGGTCTCTGTCTCTGTCTCTGGTGGATCAGTAGATCTGAAATGATTAATCAATCGATCAGTAAGTCGATCAACAGGAAACTAACCTGCATCAGTTTTAATCATTTTAATAAAACACACCTGCATCACACAGCCCAGTTTAACTGGTCCAATTTAAACTAGTCCAGTTTAGCAGTCGTCTTCTATTTATAGCTGATGGTTAGTAGATTCTTGATTATTGATTGGTATTTTATAGACTGAGTGATTCATGTTCATGGAGGAGAATCAGATCCTGGTTCCAGATAAATCAGAGCTGAAAGACTAGTGATGACAGGTGTGTGACAACAGGTGTCTGAGCAGACTGTTGTCATTATAACCTGAGTCCAGAATCTAACAGAGACTGGGTTTAAGTTGACAGATCCTGAACATTTTTAATTTGACCTTTGACCTGTGTGTTAGTGATCAGCTGATCTAAACTGATCATGAATTTAAAAACTTCAGGTTCACCAGGGACCAGATCAGAGTCAAAACCAGCAGCTGTGATCATGATGCGTTCACTGACCAGTGGCACAAAACGCATCACTGTACATCACATTCATGTGTGAGGGAAAAATTCTTGTTGGTTTAGATCATGTGACACTTCACATGTCTGAGTGACCACAGGAGCCTGCCCCAGATTGGCTCAGACCAGCTGACAGTGTGTTCAGGTGTGTTTGTGTAATAAGAGAAGAGAAAGTGGGTTTTTCTCTTCTGATGGAGCTAGGCTAACAGTTTTCCCGTGCTTCCAGTCTTTATGCTAAGCTAGGCTAACTGTTTCCCCCTGCTTCCAGTCTTTATGCTAAGCTAGGCTAATCAGGTCCAGGACCCAGATTAAACTGATCTGAACTCAGAGACAAAATGGAACAAGGATTTACTGAAAACGAGACTCTGAATATCTGTCAGCTGATATGCTGTCAGGACATCAGCTGATCCTCCTCATGTCCAGGTGATTCACCTGCTGACTGTTCAGAGCTCTGATTGGTTGAAACAGCTGAATGTTGATGTCAGGATGTTTAATGTCAGTCAGATCGATCAATCGATCAGAAAATATTTTTAATATTGAGTTTTACCTCTGATGATGATGTCACCAGCATCCTGTCACACGGACACTTTCAAAATAAAAGCTCCAAGGATCAAGACAGAAAAATTAGGTGTTAAAATGGAACCAGAACCAGTCAGATGTTGTTAGGTTTAGGTCCAGTGCAGGTCCAGTTCAGAAGTCAGAGTTCAGTTTGTAAAAACCCGAAGTGCCTCCAACCTGTTGAACTCATGTTTCTGATGTTTGCAGAGGGCTTTTATTTTGTTAATTGAAGTATTAAAAGTCTTTACTGATGAAGGGAAACATTTTAATCAGCGTGTCGCTTTATTTTAACAGCAACAAATAAAATAATTTTCTGTTTCACTTTGTTTCCATGTCTCTGTCACCACATACAGTCCACCTTAACCATTCCAGTTTAACCAGTGCAGTTTAACTAGTCCAGTTAACCCAGTCCAGTTTAACCAGTCCACTTTAACTAATCTACTTTAACTAGTCCAGTTTAAACTAGTCCAGTTTAAACCCGTCCAGATTAAACTAGTGCAGTTAAACTAGTCAAGTTTAACCAGTCCAATTTAACTAGTCCAGTTCAACCAGTCTGCTTTAACCAGTCCATTTAACTATAGTAGTCGAGATTAACCAGTCCAGTTTAAACTAGTCCAGTCCTAAATCAAAGACCAAGAAGACCTGAGAGACTGAGACGAAGACCAGGACTCGTTCAGGATCATGTGATGTGGAGTCTTCACCTGCACAGGTGACAAACAATCAGTCTCTGAAAGTGAGTCTGGTCACATGACTCCATGAGTCATCACAAACTGATCACTCAGGTCAGGATCAATACAAGGTCACAGAGCCACTCAGTGTAATCACAAAACTCTGCATCAATCAGTTAATCAATCAGACAGTCAGACTTCTGGACTCACATCACTGTAAAACAAGACTCTTACTTTGTAACATTATTAAATGGTGATGAGTCAGGTTCAGATCTTTTTCTACACTCAAACTTCAATATCATCATCACTATTATTGTAATTATTACTATTGTCATTATTATATTATTATTATTATTACATGTTTGTCACACACACACTCGTGTAACTGGTTTGAACAGAGGAATGGTGTTTTACATGTTTTACAGTGCTGCAGTTTCCTGTCTGTCCTGCAGGGGGAGTCATGGTCTGTGTCCTGACTGCAGCTCAGACAAAGACTCGGGGGGGGGGGTCAGTGGGGGGAGAGAGGAGCTGAGGGGGCGTTTGTTTCTGATTTGGTTCATGTGTCGAGCTGATTTTCAGCTTCAGACTCTGAGACATCGACACAGGAGAGACGCTGCTCCGCTCTGCACGTTTATTCATCTGTTTATTCATCCATTCATCTGTTCAGCCACAGTCTGTGGAGGGATCATGTCTGTCTGTAGGATCTTTATTCAGCTCATCACAGGTGAGAAGATTCTTTTATTATTTCTGGTTTGTATCTTTGTTCTTCCGTCTGAAAACATGAAGGTTCCTCAGGTTCTTCAGACGTTCTCTGACTGAAATAATAACAACACAGAGGCTTGATGACTCAGCAGAAACGGATTAAAGGTTCATTCTTTAAAAGCAAAATGTGTTTGATAAAACAGGTTTTTAGTTTGTATTGATTATCAATACGTCAGATATCAGCAGATCAATTTTTAGACAGCAGGTGACTGACTGTGAGGTCACAACCCAGAGGTCACAACCCCGAGGTCAACAAACTGATCTGTGTTTATCAAGTCACACCTTTTGTTTCTAACCGGTTTAACGTTAATGAAACAGACTGGGATCAAGTGTGAGTGACTGACCTGGCCTCGAGTTAAAATACTGAAGAATGTCTCCACCAATCAGAGGAGTTTCATTCTCAGAGACCAGAATCAGACTGAGACATTCAGGTTCTTCTCAGAAACAGAGACATGTTTTCTGAGCTGAGTTGAGGAACCTCATTAGAATCTAACAGTAGAACCTGGACTGATGGATTCTCAGGTCTGATCTGTTGTTGTTGTTTGTCTCCTCAGCTGTGTTGCTGATGTCATCGTGGTGCGTTCAGGGTCTGCGTGTCAGCGTGTTTCCCAGACACCCTCTGTTCAGACTGGGGGAGCGTCAGCAGCTGGTCTGCTCTGTCCAGGACTGTCCTCTGGTCCCAAGCCTCTCCTGGTCCCTGCTGGGGGACCGGCCACTGACAGCCTCCGTCAGCACCAATGGGTCCAGGTCTGTGGTGACCTTTGACCCTGTGATGATGGAGCATGAAGGAACTCTGCTCTGCAGGGTTAACTGTGGAGGAGACAAGAGGGAGGGCAAAACCCCTGTGCACGTGTACTGTGAGTTCACACACACACACACACACACACACACACACACACACACACACACACACACACTCCTGGTCTGACTTCCAGCTATCCTCGTTCTGGTGTCAGACCTGATGTGGATCAATGAAACCTAGTCTCTGTCCTCTGTGTGTCTGCTGGATCCAGCCTTCCCATCAGCCCCTGTGATCCAAGGCCAGGACCAGCTGAAACTGGGGGCGGAGTCCATCCTGACCTGTCATGTGTCTGATCTTTACCCTGCCGAGCAGCTGACCCTCACCTGGTTCATGGGGGGCTCATTCCTGCAGAGCACTGTTGGAGATCCTGGATCCAGCTCTGTCCGGTCTGAATACAAGTTCACTCCCCAGAACCAGGACTCAGGATCCAACATCAGCTGCAGGGCCATGCTGGACCTGCCAGACCTGCCAGCTGGGAGCAGGACCAGAGAGACCACCGTTCCCCTAAACATCCTCTGTAAGTCTGAGTCTGAGTTTTGAGTCTGAGTCTGAGTCCTGCTGTCTGAGTCTGAGACTGAGTCCTGAGTCTGAGTCTGAGTCCTGCTGTCTGAGTCCTGAGTCTGAGTCCTGCTGTCTGAGTCCTGCTGTCTGAGTCCCGAGTCTGAGTCCTACTGTCTGAGTTTTGAGTCTGAGTCCTGCTGTCTGAGTCCTGAGTCTGAGTCCCCGAGTCTGAGTCCTACTGTCTGAGTTTTGAGTCTGAGTCCTGCTGTCTGAGTCCTGAGTCTGAGTCCTACTGTCTGAGTCCTGCTGTCTGAGTCCTACTGTCTGAGTCCTGAGTCTGAGTCCTACTGTCTGAGTCCTACTGTCTGAGTCCTGAGTCTGAGTCCTACTATCTGAGTCTGACTGAGTTTTGAGTCTGAGTCCTACTGTCTGAGTCTGACTGAGTTTTGAGTCTGAGTCCTACTGTTTTGAGTCCTGAGTCTGAGTCTGAGTCCTACTGTCTGAGTCTGACTGAGTTTTGAGTCTGAGTCCTGCTGTCTGAGTCCTGAGTCCGAGTCCTACTGTCTGAGACTGGGTCTGAGACTGAGACTGAGACTCAGTCTGAGTCTGAGTCTTACTGTCAGAGTCCTACTGTCTGAGTCTGAGTCCTGAGTCTGAGTCTGGATCGGCCTCAGACTGTCAGGATCTGGTTCAAGTTGATCTGGTTCAGGTTTCAGGATCTGACCTTGAGTCCTCCGCAGATGCTCCTGTGGTGACATGGATCTCAAACTCGGTGTTGGTGATGGCTGACTCTCCGCTCACCCTCTCTTGTTCGGTGGAGGGAAACCCTGAACCGACCATAAGCTGGAGCTTGAGGACGGCAGATGGTGGGTCTGAGTGGCGGGGGGGGGGCCGTCAGCTGGTCTTCAGAGCAGTGAGTCTGTCTGAAGCCGGACGCTACGAGTGTGAGGCCAGGAACAGCGAGGGGAACCAGACGGCCGCTGTGGACCTGACTGTTCACGGTAAGAGTGAAGCTCCTGTTTCATTTACTATCTCTGCAGGTAACCTGCCACCAGCTGTAACACCTGTCACCCCCACCCTCCACAGCTCCACCCAATGACACCTCCATCTCTGTGAGTCCAGGTGAGGAGGTGGTGGAGGGTCAGCAGGTTACGATTACCTGCCGCTCACATGGAGCTCCGCCCCCCAACCTGGTGCTGAAGAAGGAAGGGGTGGAGCTGCAGAGGACTGACCCCGCCTCCTCCTTACTCTCCTTCAGCCTCTCCTCCGCCCTCCTGGAAGACTCCGCCCTCTACCAGTGTGAAGCCTCGAACCAGTACGGATCCCAGCTGGAGTCCAGATCCATCAGGGTCAGAGGTCAGATAAATAAACTTTATTCACAAAGACAAGGAGCAGATATACAGGCAATCAATATATAATCAATCAATGTATAATCAATCAATTCATTTAACATTATATTTTATTATTATTATTATTTACATCATTATTGATCGATTTTTATATTATTGATTATTGATTGATGACTGATTGATGACTGAGAGTCGTTCCGTCTCTCAGCTCACCCTCTGCAGGTGCAGCCCGGTCCTGTGGTCTCAGTAGCAGAGAGGGGTTCAGATCTGGTCCTCACCTGCACAGCTTCTGGATGTCTCCACCCTCCCACTCTCACCTGGGTGGACCAGGACCAGACCGTCCTCCAGAGGACGCAGCAGCAGGACGGACTGTCCCAGCTCCACCTGCAGGACCTGGACCTCCAGGATCAGGGATTCTACCGCTGTGAGGCCGAGTGTGAATCTGTCACCAGGACCAGAACCACCCAGGTCCAGGTCTACTGTGAGTCGGACACACCTGATACACCAGACACATTAATCTTTTAATTTGAAAAGGTCTGAACAAACTCATTAAAACACCTTAATTTGCAAAACTCCCACTAAATTAATGAAGTAAATTTTGAGGCGTCCATGACTTTTCCTTTAACTATTAATCAAGAACAATCATTTAAAATTAATTAATTCCCTGAGAACAACCTTAATTTAACAATAAATTCTTCATATTTGTAATAATGTGTTTCCTGTTTTACTTAATGCTCATCATCCTGAGCTCACAGTGAAAACACAGTGCCTTCAGTTTGATTCGTATTAGAGTAAAACATCAACAAACTGTTGATTCATAACAACATAAAACATGTTAATTACATAATTATTAATTAGCAAATGAAAGAAGTCTGAGTCTGAGTTAAGGTAAATGAGGAGGTTCATTTCCTCTGATGAAAGTTCCTTTAGTCTCCTGAAGAAGTTAATGTGATTTATTGTTTATTGATTATTGTTTATCCTCTCTGATGATCCAAGACTCGAGTCAGAGCTGCAGTTTGTTTTGACACACTGAGTCAGAGCACAGAGGTCAAAGGTCACAGAGTTTCTCTCTGTTGGTTTAGTTCCAGAAGCTGGAATGTTTCCTCCCTCAGATCTGTCTTTAGCCTGAGGAGGAACACAAACTGACACAACAAACCCCCATCCACATTCCACACACACACACACACACACACACACACACACACACACACACACACACACACACACACACACACACACACACCTACCCCCCTGACTCTAACAGTAAATCCTCCCACAGCTCAGAGACAGAAACAGGACAAGACGTTTGTTCAGACTGAAGAGCTGAACCAGCTGATCTTCATCATCATAACAAACTGTTAACAAGCTTTAACTAGCAGCTGTTTACCAACTCGTTAACCAGCAGATCAGTTATAAAAAGCTCATAACTGTTCAATCAGAAGTAGCTGATTGGCCACTGCTGTCACATGTCAGGTGACATACCTGAAGGATAATTAGACAAATGACCAGGTGAACAGTAAAAGCCCGGTTTGGTTCTTTAACAGTCCTGATCTGTTTTCACTTGTTAATTCTCTCCAGCGTTTCCATCTGATCCGGTTGTGAAGGATCCTGGTCCTGTTGTTCTGGGTCAGGAGGCAGTCCTTCGCTGTGATGTCATTAACGTCTTTTCTACCAATTGGCTGAGGATCCAGTGGCTGTTGGGGAACACAACGCTAATGTCAGAGTCCTTCGAGTTCTCCGGTTCTTTACAGAACATCTCATCTGTTCTTAAGCACCGGATTGAGGAAGACCAGCAGGTTCTGACCTGCAGAGCGGAGCTGAAGCTGATGAGGGATGACGAAGAGAGGTGGTGGTCCAGGAGGACCAGTGTCCCTCTGCTGGTCCACTGTGAGTCTTACTGTGACAGACTTTGTTTTAGCTCACTTTATTTCAGCAGGATGATTAAAGTCCTTGTTCAGTTCCCTGAAGAACAGTTTGTGGTCCTGCGTAGAACCCTCAGCTGAGTCCAGAACTAAATCTGATTTGGGAACCTACAGGAACTCAGCTTTGACTCCTGGAGAGAAGAAGTCTGGACCCACCTCATGATGGTCCTCAGGGAACTGGACATTACGATGTTACTCAGGGAACCGTACGTGCACATTTACAGTTCTGCACATGTATGAATGATGGACAAACAGCAGAGTCCGTCAGTATGTAGACGACACCGTTCTTAACGAGTCAGTGAAGGAGGCGTGTCAACAGGAGTTAACCCTTTAATGTCCACAAAGGCATTTTATCATTTCTTTTACAGAACTTAAAATATCAGCTGATTCACATCCATCAAACTTTTCAAACTGGTCCAGATTTTTCTTTTCTTCAGTCATTTCTCACAGGAGATCGACGGTTTTCTGTAAACACCTCCAGAACAACAGGAATCAGATCTTCATGATTTTTGAGCCACATGTTCTGGATTCTTACAATTTAGATTCTAAAAGAAAAATGATGATCTCTTGCTGTTGGTCCAGTTTTTACACAGAATAAATGTGTTTATGTGACCAAAAACTAAATATAGTCTGATACAGAAATGGCAGTCGTACCCACAGGAAATGCCAGATTCAGGTTTTATTTTTAACTCGGGTTCCAGATTTCCCTTAATCTGACGCTTATCTGTTAAACTCAGATTCAGTTTTTTTAAGATCAAATTCAGGTTTTGTTAAATTTAGATTCAGGTTTTCATTAAACTCAGATTCAGACTTAATCTCAGTCCTGGTCTGTTTGTGTTGCAGATGCTCCGAGAAGAACCTCTATCTCCGTGAGTCCAGGTGAGGAGGTGATGGAGGGTCAGCAGGTAACAATTACCTGCCACTCAGATGGAGCTCCGCCCACCACACTGGTGCTGAAGAAGGAAGGGGTGGGGCTTCAGAGGACTGACCCCGCTTCCTCCTCCCTCTCCTTCAGCCTCTCCTCCGCCCTCCTGGAAGACTCCGCCCTCTACCAGTGTGAAGCCTCGAACCAGTACGGATCCCAGCTGGAGTCCAGATCCATCAGGGTCAGAGGTCAGATAAATAAACTTTATTCACAAAGACAAAGAGCAGATCAATATACAATCATGGATGTGTATCATCACTAAAAGGAATGTTGTCCTTTCTAGGAGAATATAAATAATGGATATAATAATAATAATAATAATAATAATAATAATAATAATAATAATACAAGTCAACGATAAAGGTCAAATGGGTAAAAACATGCAGGAGGAGTTTTCTTTATGTTCACAGCTGGTCAATAAGACGCATCTTAGAGAGATTAAAGTGTAAAAGTGAAACTGACATTGTGACTCATTCAGAGTGAATCAGTGAATTCGGTTTAGTGTCTGCTGGAACTCTTTTAACAGAATGTCAGTTCTCGATAAGAAACTTTGAATCTGGGATTTCCACACGTTTCTCTTCCTGTGTTCAGTTTCTTCTTCTGCTGTTTGTTGGATCAGTGTCTGTGTTGTGACGGCTGTTATCTGAACACTCAACAACCTACTCCTCCACACGAAGCTGGAGCTGCTGTGGACAGAAATAAACTCTGAGTCAGACACTTCAGCTCTCACAGAGCCCCATCAGTCTGATGAGGATCCAGCTCTGTGATCCAACAGCAGAATATTCAACATGACTCCAGGTGTGTCCACACCTGAGGGACGAGCTGCAGAGGCACGGACGTGAAGCGTTGTGTTGTGGTCCTGAGATCATGTTAATATCTGAGTTTTTACATAAACACACCGGTTTGTGTTCAAGCATTATTCTGACAACCAGTGTTTTTAATGGTTCTCATGTGACAGTGACAAAATAAAACACAAACTGATCCAAAGCTCATGAAAAGCAGAAGTGAAGCAGCAGGAAACAGTCACATGACACAGCTGCTGGTCAAAGTTCCAACCAAAGGTCAACAGGTTCGTCTGAGCAGCTCTCACCACTGAAGATTTGAGCTGAATGATCAGTGACAGAGACACTTCCTTCAGGAGAGAGTTAGATAGAGATTAGTTCCTGTTAACCTGACCAAATCTGAGCTGAAGGCCTCACTGACTCTCTCTCATCACTTTTACTGTTCAACCTGTGAACCACGCTCTAACTCTGATCTGGTTTCTTGTGGTCCAGCTCCTCCGAGGAACACCACAGTCCTGGTCCTACCGTCTACGGTGGTCCAGGAGGGACAAAATGTCACAGTCTGCTGCCAAACCATCAGCTCCCCGCCATCAGCCGTGATCCTGAAGAAACTGACCAATGGGACAGAGATATACTCCCTCAATGGCACCTTCCTATTGGTCAATGTCACGGCCAGAGACTCTGGGCTGTACCAGGTCAACGTGACCAACGACCTAGGCTACCAGGTCAAATTCTTCAGCATCAGTGTCAGAGGTCAGTCAGACCAGTTCAGACCAATTTGGAATCTCAATTTAAAGTTTTTTTAAGCACAGTTTGGGAACGGATTTGTTGTCAGTGGAAAAAACACCGTCACTTTGTGGTCTGGTTTAAAGAAATCCTCTACCTTCCTCCACAGAGAGAAGCACCAGTCTTCCTCCAAGACTCAGCGTCATCATCATCCCAGCCATCTGCGTCGCAGCTGGGCTGGCAGCTACTGCTCTGCTCCTCGACTACCTGAGGAGATCAAGAAAGAAAGGCTTCTATCAGCTTCCTCAGTCTGCTGCACCTTCAGCCTGAGGCTCACACTGGGCCACCAGGCTCCAACATGTGGCCACCAAGTTTTAAATGTAACTGTCCCTAAAATTTGGCTGCTGAAGTACATTTGACTACAACACATGGCTTTGGGTTTCATGTCCCAACACGACTACCACTTCCAAACATGAGACTACCACTTCCAAACAGTCCAGCCTGAGGAACACGATGGTTGATAGCTAAATGATGTAATATATGATCAGTAATAAAGACCTCCGTCAGTATAGTCGTCTGTCAGCTTGTGGCAGCTTTGCAGCTCATTGATTTTTCTGTTGAATCAGTGACTTTTCAGTAACTAACTCTGTGAACTGTCCCTTTAACCAGAAGAGTCAAACTGAAGCAGAGCTGTTGCTCTTAATTGAAGTTTTGGCTTTGGCTTCCAAACATTTCAGCCGTGACTTGACCTCAGAAACTAAAAGCTTCAGTTGTCTGAATGTTCTTCTCAGTTTGGTATAGCTGTGTCTTCAGTCATTGTGTTCTGCAGACAGAACCACATTGTTCCTGTGTTTGTCTTGAATGATCTGCTGGAGTTCTTGATTGATATGAATTGTATGTAGATACGTGTACAGTTTCTCACTCTGTGCTTTTATTAAAGATATTTATTTCTTCACTTCCGTCTCAGAGCTTCTTGGAACATACTTTGATCTCCTGGGAATTTTTTTGGAATTTCCTGTGAATCAGTAGCTGATCAGATTTCCCTTTCACTTCTTTCACATTCAGTGTTTACTGGAAGTCTTCAGGATGTCTCAGCTGGTAACCATGGAAACATCTTCACTGCTTTTCAAACCATCAGAGCTGAAAACACTTTAAAACACAGTCTGAGAGGAATCGTCCTCGTTCATTAAAACTGCTGGTTTAAACTCTCACTGTGACTTCAGCTTCATCTCTCCTGTCTGTGTAAAAGGCTTCAATTAATAAAACTGTTGGTACTTTTCAAATCAAACACCTTTAACCTTTAATGTATCAGAACAAACACGGAGCAACTCAGAAGCTGATGGTTCAGGTTCACACCTGAACTGTTCCCCGTCAAAACTAATCACTCATCCTCCAGTTTTAAGTTTTGCTGTTTTATTTGGTGCCACATGATTCAGTAATAATTAAAAATGAAGTGACACATAATACTTCAAGACACTGGCTGAATCAGAACCAGAGAAACTAAATCACTTTGACTAATGACAGAGAATGATTTTACTGCAGAGTGACAAACAAAGAGACTGTGAGACGTGAAACTGGTCCAAGACTGCAGGTCTGATCCACATTCACTCCTCCTCACATCTGAAACCTTCCTGTTTCCATGACGATGGGCTGGAGAGCCAATGAGCTTTGTGTTGAAGAAAAAAACCACCAGGACATTTAATTCATTCGTTCAGCTCTTTAAGCAGCTCAGAGGATTCATGTTGACAACTGACACAGAGCCAGGAATTAGACCGATCCCATTGCTTCACACTTAAAACCACCAAAATAAACATCTCTAGTTTATGTGAACATGAACCTGTATGTGTTCTGTCTCTGCAGCAGCTCCTTACTGAGACAGACTGGACTTGTCCCTGAACACATCGTCTGATAATATAGTTACTCTGGATGGTTTGACCTCAGTCTCATTGCTACAGTCAGTCACTGTTGACCTGCACGTGTCCTTCACTTCACATGTAAAACCAGTCTCTAGGATGGCCTTCTTCCACCTGAGCATTATTGTGAAAATCAGAAACATCCTGTCTCAAAGGGGGTTTTGTGTCTTTGTTTTCTCTTTGTGTCTCTGTGTCTCTTTGTGTCTCTGTGTGTCTGTTTGTTTGCTCTTTGTGTCTCTGTGGTGGTTTTGTGTTTTGCTGACTTCAGTCCAGAGCTTCCTGTCTCAACAGACCCACACTGACAGCACAGATATTTTACTAACTACTACAGCACAGTGTACAAAATGTGGCCCCCCTGGGACTCTGAGACCCCTGACCCCTGATGACCCTGGTCCTGTGCCCAGTGGACCTGCTCAGTGATCCGGTCCTGGGTTGGCTCTGTTGATGCAGATTCAGCTGAAACGAAGTGAAAGTGTTGATAAATGTGTCTTTTCTGCTCCATCTGGTGTTTTTCAGTCATGTGGCCTTCACTGTCTTGCTGGGCCTCCGTGACCTCTGACCTCTGAGTGCTGTTGTGTAAGAGAGGCCGAAGCGTTCTGCTGCGTCTTGTCATTATAATCTCCTGTCCCACTGGTATTTCCTGTCTGAGAGAAGAGGAGCTGCAGCTCTTTGTTTCCTGGTCTGAGGAGTCTCACATCAGAACCACATGGATCCACTTCACAGGACTCAGCAGGTCATAGGAGCAGATCTACAACAGGACCAGGAGCTGCAGCTACAGCAGGTCCTGGATCTGGTCCTGAACCTGGTCTTCAGCTTTCTTCTGGACTTCCTTCTGAACCAGGTCTGGTGCAGACTGAGGACGGCTGGTGGACCCCCCCCAGACTGAGCGGGGGCCTGAACACAGATCAGTTCTGTGTTACCTGAGCCCTACCTGCTGATGTCACCTGTACCTGTCCAGGAAATACTCCGCCCCTCTGATGTTTAATACTGATGATGATGTTCAGACTGAAGACACATCATTCAGTGATTATCATTGTCAGGTGCATGCTGGGATACATGTAGCCTAAATACATAAATAAATAAAATGATATCTGTGATATAGATCACTGAGGGACTTTCACAATAAAAGTTTTGTTATGATCACTGAGGGAGGACTTTCACAATAAAAGTCTTAATATGTTCACTGAGCTTGTTTTCAGTCTGAAGGAAACTTTCTGTTTTCTAACTTCAATTTTACTTGGTTCACAAGTGAAATCTGTTTCATCGAGTACCTAAAGAACTAGGGTTCTCCCAGTTCTCTTGGTAACATTCTTTCGTCTTTACTTTCTGTCAGTTATTGTGTGTTTAAATCTATAAGGGGAAACTTTCACAATAAAGAGTCCTGCTACAATCACTGAGCTTGTGTCAGTCTGAAGCGGGAAACTGGACTGTCCAGCTGCGGCTCATCACTGCAGTTAATCAACTATAAAACACTTCATTAACACAGTGAATGACTTGGACACTTAAAGGTCACATGTCCTTCACTGAGAGCCAATCAGCTGTGAGATACTGCTCCATCTGACATTCCTCAAACACTTCAGGCTGATGTGAAACACACGAAAGACATTTCTTCATTTTAAACACACACACAGTTTCAGTTAGTTTTCGTTTTTATAAAGCATCATATTTATTTTTATTTCAGTTCATGAAAATGTTTTTTCACATCTGGTTTTCATTATTTCGTTAGTTTAGTTAATGTTAATAACCTTGGTGTGTTGATTGACAGGTATCTGAAGCAAAGTTTTATTTACTGTGTACAGTAAAGGTGGAAGCTGCAGTGAAAGTTAAGGAGAAGCGAAAACTCTGTGTGAGGAAAAAACTGTTCAAATTAAAACAAACACATAAATGATACGAATTAAAAACCAGTAAGAAAATAAAATAGGGCCAAAAACGATCAGTGAAATAACATATGTAAATTAAAACTATTAAAAGGTAGGAATAAAATATGATTAGATCAAATAATTAGACATACAGTATAAAAGCAAGAAAATAAAAATGTAAACGAAGCAAAACAGACTCCTGGAAAACTCTGTTCACTCAGAAGCTGCTTGTCAGAGTGCTGATAACTGAGCCGTCTCTCCAGCTGTGAGAGGGAGCGCCATCAGCCGACCAATCACTTCCACTTCCTGTCCCTGATCTAACCTTTGGCGGCTGGTGTTTAATCAGAGAGGAGGAGGATGGAGCTGCTGCTGGTGGAGCGTTTGCGTTTTTAGTTGCCATGGAAACTTATCAGTGACTCCTCTTGACTGTGGCCTAATAACTTCATCACTGAATCTAATGTTTTAATGAAACCTTCACTACTTCAGTATCACAGTCTGTACATCATGATACACTGCAGACAGGAAGTGATCACAGCTGATCACATCTGATTCAGCTGAAACAGGGATCAGTACTGACCTGTAGCTACATCACAACAACAGACCAACTGATGAACATTTACAGTCATTGTGGGATTAAATTTAGACCAGAGAGATTTAAGAATCTCACATTGTTTCTGTGTTATTGTTTTATTATTGTTGTATTGTTGTATTGTTGTTGTTTTGTTGTATTGTTGTATTGTTGTTGTTGACTGGTGAACACTGTGTGGAGCTGAAGTAAAGCACGAAGAATCAGCTCTGATCCAGCAGCTCAGACTTTGTCCTCCAACTCAGAGCTGACTCAGTGTCAACAAACCTGAGGCTCCACAGAGGGAGGGGTCAGACTGAGGCTCCACACACAGAGCTCTGCCTCCCTCTGCTGCTCACACTGACGGACAGTTTCAACACAGAGAACAAAGAATCTGAAGAATCAGTCACCAATACACAAAGAGAAGATACAGGGACAGGTGAGGAGGAGGGGGAGGAGGAACAAGATGTTGTTTCTTATCGTTTTTTGTACAGGAAGCTTTGCTCTGTTCTGTTGATGATGAACAGGATTAGATTAAAGGAGAGAGTGATTATGATTATCCTTCATTAATCTATTGTCCTGGTGTTTCTCTTCATTTCTTTTTCTTTTTTTAGCAATAATGATCTGAATGAGTGTGTGAGCAGTGAAGGCATCATGAGTCCATGATGATGTCTGTATCAGTGGAATGTAACTAACTACATTTACTTTGTTCTCCTCCATCAGAGGGTCTCTTCTTACTGCTCTACATCTATCTGAGGAGTTCATCTCCAACAGGAGCATTACATATTCATATATTGATATTATGTATGAATATAAATATAATAATATTAATATATGACACTTTGTCAGATATGGTGCTTTGTTCGGAACAAACCACAGAACAATTTTTAAACTACAGCCACAGTCTCTGCTCTGAGGACTTTTACTTTGACACTTCAAGTACAGTTTACTGATTATACTTTTATTTGTAATGGAGTACTAAGTACTGTGTGGTATTTGTACTGAAGTAAACATCTGAGTATTTCTCCACCACTGGTATAAGTAGTATCAGTAGTACTAATAGTAGTAGTAGTAGTAGTAGTAGTAGTAGTACTAATCTTAGTAGTAGTAGCATCAGTAGTACTAATAGTAGTACTAATAGTAGTAGTAGTAGTGACACATATCGCTGCTGCTGCAGGAACATCAGTCAGTGTTTGAGTAACTGGAGCGCTTTTAAACGCCTTTATTGTGAAATCTGAGCGAGCCGGAAGTTGTCAGTTAGCATACCTAGGCTACGTCTGCTTAGTGAGTGTGTGTGTGAGTGTGTGTGTTCAGGTGTGAAGATGTTACCTTTATCTATTAAAGACGATGAGTACAAACCCGCCAAGTTTAACCTGCTGGTGAAGCTCTCCGGCTGGTTCAGGTAAACTCACCGTGCTAACGGCGGCTAATGGTCCGCCGCTAGCCTGATGCTAACCGTGTAGCCTCATCCAGCCTCTGACGGTCTCTATCAGACCGACTTTAATCTGCCTGTCGGTCGTTAACGGGAGTTACCGACTGTGTATGTGTGACACTGAGATCGTCAGCTGTGGCTGACCCGGTTTTCGCGGGTGTATGGCTCCGGTTCAGACTGTGATGGAGGTTTGTGGCTCTTGTTTTCAGGTCGATCCTGGCGGATAAAACCTCCAGGAACCTGTTCTCCTTCCTCTGCCTCAACCTGTCCTTCGCCTTCGTGGAGCTCATGTACGGCATCTGGAGCAACAGGTAAGCCGAAGGAGCCGGCGTCAGGCCGGCTGCTGGTCCGGCTGTTCGCCTCAGGATGTGCCACGTATGTGTTAGTGTGTGTGTTAGTGTGTGTGTGTGTGTGTGTGTGTGTGTGTCTCTCTCTCCAGTCTAGGTCTGATCTCAGACTCCTTCCACATGTTCTTCGACTGCACCGCTCTGCTGGCAGGTCTGGCAGCCTCCGTCATCTCCAAGTGGAGATCCAACGACAGCTTCTCCTATGGGTGAGACCCCTGACCCCTGACCCCTGACCCCTGGAGCCCCCTGTTCACGAGATCTGACTGCAGGACCACAGAGAACCTGTCTCTCATGTCTGTCTGGTGTGTTTCAGGTATGTGAGAGCAGAGGTGTTGGCGGGATTCGTCAACGGACTCTTCCTCATCTTCACAGCCTTCTTCATCTTCTCTGAGGGAGTCGAGGTAACACACACACACACACACACACACACACACA